CATAGGTTCTTATAAGGTTTAACGGCAACGCAGAGAGTTTCGGATGCTTCTGAGGGCTCTTTCTGTGATGGTTATAACAGGCTGCACGGGCTCTCCTACCACAGCCTTCTAAGCGCCTCTGTTCTCAAAGCAGCCCTTCACATCATGGCTGGCTTTGCACACCGCCACTACCGCCACGGCAACGTTTTAAAACCAAAATACACCATGAGAAAGAAAATGAGTCCTCATGAATTTTAGCTATAAGATAAAGTAGGCTTATATGTACCCTGACAATTTAACAAAAGCTTTTCTATGTAGGCTTCTCCACCAGGTTTTAGTGTCTTGACCCCTAGTAAATATTCCCATTGCATGTCTTCTATTATTTATTCTTCTTAAATATTACACAATTTATCTTTACATTAACACGTTTGTCCAAGATGAAAATAAGAAAGGGCAAATTAAGAAGCTGATAGCCCCTCTGTTAAAAATAAATAAGCTGCCCTAACCCCTTGTCGACATCTTTCATAGCCACGACTTCATCATCAGTCGGTGGGGCAGGAAGGGGAGCACCACTCATCTGTCTCATGGGCTCTCCATTTCTCAGGCTCCCTTGCAATGGGAGCCATGGACCAGAGCCACATCACAAATTCTGGCCAAGGGGTGATGCGTGGAAGTGACGTATGTGGTGTAAAAGCAGTGTTAGGTTCCTTGCTCTCTCTCTTCCCTTGCAGACCTTCAAGGTCCTATAATGAGATGGCCGCTGCCCCAAATGGGAGCCCAGAACCCGAGCCAGTGGTGGAGAGAGCTGCCGTCAGACTTTGCATGGATGAGAAATCAACCTCTGTATGTTGACACACTAATGTTTGGGGATTTGTTCATCACTGCAGCATAGTATGTCTAGTAAAGAAATAAAGGTCCTGAAGGGAAGGAAAATGTTCTCCATAAATTTACAAGAATCCTCAAGAACGTAGAAGTAAGTTGACTAAGGGGGAAGGGCGAAGGCAGGCAGGGAGTCTGTTTGAAGACACCATAGCAACTACAATGACCTTTTGTACTAAGAATCCGGCATTTTTTGGCAGAGAGGCAGCCTTTAGTTCAACCACAAGTTTATTCTAAAGCAAACAGAGGAGACACCTCTTTAAGAGTTCCTCTTTTATGTGCTGACATTTAATATTCTGCTTTCACTTGTAGTGAATATTTCTATAACACAAGAGGAGAGTAAGAAGAAGCATTACCCATCTGGCCTTACCATCCCCACTCACTTGTTAAATATTCAAAAGTTTCTAGCCTGTAATATCATGGGGTCTATTATTTTACTTTAAGAAATGTAATCCTATCTTAGAGATGAGGTTATCAAGGATGTAGTAAATTCTTAGCAACTGCCACTATAATTACATAAAGCATGTTTTTTTAAGTAATAAATTTCAGAACATCTGACCAAAGTTAACTCCCTAGTCCACAGGACTCTGAGTGGAAATAAAAGGATCTCAGAGGGGAGTGTGTCAGTCCGGAACTGACCTCCCCCAGGTACTGCTAATATGGCCAGGAGACTAATTTCTCTTCTCCTAACATCCCCATGGTAATGACATGATTATTTGACCCTTTTACTGTTGACCAACGACACCATGCAGGTGCTGCACACATTAGAGGTGCTAGGGGCAGCATCCTCTTACCTGATCCTTAAGGACCATTCTCAGAGGCTTTGACCTTGTTTACTAAATGTGCCAGCATGGTCTACAAGAGGCTGAGTCATATCATTTTTTGCCTAACATACCTCCCAGCCCTGTCCATTCTCCCTAGAATTTCCAGTGTCCCTATTTGCCAGTGTCCCTCTGGCAATGGCCAGAGTGACCTTTCCAAAATGTAATCCAAACACGTGTCCTCCCTGCACAATGCTTTTAGTTTCCTCCCATTGCCCTCAGGATCAAGTCAAAATTCCTTAATGTACCACCCAAGGCCTTCCATCCTCTTCCCCCCCACCCCACCTTCTAGGCCTCATCTCATCCCCACTCCCTGCCTTGAGCTATTATTCATAGGTCCCCCACATATGCCAGCTTTTCCACAACTCCCTTTTTGCAAACGCTCTTCCTCTCTCCTTCGTTTTCTTCTCCAATTAGAAGTTCATCATTAAGATGCACTTGACATTTCTATTCCCAGCACCTAGCACAGACAGGTACATTGTAAGTCTGAAAAACATATTTGTTGAATGAATAAATTAATAAGTGTGCACTGCAAAAGGTGTAGACTGTCTAACCCAAACCTTTACACATAACAGAAGCTCAACCACCACTTGTGGAATGAATTATTAAACTCTTTATAATTGACTCAGTTTATAATGGATTCTCTATGGTCTTTCACCAACATTCTCAATAACCACAAAGGAGAAAAACAATTCTGAAAGTCATGTGTTCATAACAAGCTATCCCTGAACATCCAGTGGAATCCAAGTTTTAAAGGCCGAGTAATGCAATAATCCACCATCTCTTTCAAAACTAAAAGAAAATGAGTCCACAATGTTTTATCATTGTTTTTATGATTTGTTCCAATAACCACTTTATCGGACAGTATAGCTAGAGAACATGTCTGTCATCATAGAAAGTTCTATTGAGCAGTTTTGTTCTAGAAAGAACAAGAAGGCTAGTATTGCTGGGGTGGATTGAGCAAGGATGAGAGGCCACAGAGTTTAAAGGAGCACAATTGTGTAGGAGGTCGATGGCCTTTGCAGAAACATGAGCTCTGATTTCCAGTAAGACAGGAAATCAGTAGGGTTTTGCCGGAGGGGTAAGTTGGCCTTTAGAAGAATCACTTTGGGTCATTATTTGTGTTATGATCCAAATGAAAAAGAAAACATCAAAGGTGGACACAGGTAGTAGCAGCGGGACTGGTCAAAAACACTCATGTTCTCTGTGAACACAGAAGCTGGTACCAACAGATGATTCTTGTGGAAAGAATGTGGCATGTGTCATGATGAAGATGATTAAGTTAGGAAAGAGGTCAGTGTTTGGGGCACAGGAGAGGCTAAGGTCAGGTTTAGACTGTTTTCATGAGATGACAACACAACTGAAAATGTCCAATGGTCAATCAGAGACGGGAGAGCCCGGATGAGAACAGAGCCTGAATATAGGTGAGATTCATCAGCAACCATACATGAGACAAAACAGGAATGGGGGTCAAGGAGAAGAGTTCCAAAGTCTAGCCCTTGAAGAACATTCCCCCCTAGAGGGGAATGGGTTAGACAAGGAGACAAATAAATTATTAGAGCCTTAGAAGAATGGGAGTGTCAACAGTCAAATGCGACAGAGATGCCAAGAGAGTTAAAGAGAAATGATGTAGCCCAGGAAATGGACAATTTGGAAGGCATTGCCCTCTGAAAGTATGTGTCTGCTATGTGGGGGCCGGGGTGGGTGGAAGGCATAGGGAGGAACTGAGGGAGAGAAGCTAGGCTGAAGCACAGGGGAATGGAAGGGACCGTTGTTAATGAGAATGGAAAGAACAGTAAACTTTGACATTTCTTCACACTCACACATAGTTTCTAAAACAATCATTTAATTTGGCCCACCAAACATTATAGTTATATATGTTAAATGTCTTCTAACAAACTAAATATACTTTTTAACATTCACAGTTTATTTAGGCCACAGGGCAATAATTTTTTTTGTAGCAGGTCATTTTAAGAAAGGTAAATATACGTATTATGATTTGTTGCTCTTGAGCTCCTGAGACTAGGTGGCAATTAGGGAATTTTAAAGGTGGAGGGGTGGACGGGTGGAGGGGAGGGCCAAGGTTTTTTGTGATAAGGAGGTAAATTTTAATTTCCTGAAATCTTGGAAAAGTCAGTGCTGTTTCTTTAAAAGTCAACAGAGAAAGGCAAACACTAAAAACGAAGAAGGACAGCTATAGAGAAAGCTGTAGCTGTTGAGTTTCCATCCAACAGGAGCTCTGGTTGAAGGGGAAAGACCAAGGGACTCAGGGCAGCAGCCAGTTGCCTGTTTCCTGGTGGGATGTTAGAAAAAAGCTGGTGTAGACTCAAAAGACTGAGATCCAAAACAAGAACTTTGTGTATGATCTAGTCCAGTCTCTCCCATTTAACAGGGGAGGTATGGGGACCCAGAGAGGTGAGGTAAATGGCCCCAGGTCATTCAGCTAGTTCTATGCCGAACCAGGCCCAGAACCCGGGGGGTTCTGTTTCCAGGACCCCAGCTCTGTCTGCCTTGCCATTCTACTTGCTATTAAGAGTGGAACTGTCCTGTTTAAGATGGACAGACCAAATGCAAAGCACGTTCAGCACTGGAGTTCTACCTTCTGTGTGGGGATGAGTAATGGGAACCTGCAAGGAGATTAAAAAGGCTTGAAGAGCGCTCTGGGTTTGAGGACAGAATATTGGCCTCTCACAAACGTCCCGGCAGCAGGCCTTCTGAAATCGGCCTTGGTGTTGAAACTGTGCCTACAAGCCACACGGACCAGTGAAACCGGCAACGTTGACAAGCGACCGTCTCACTCACTTCTGGATAATAAATACTGGGTGTGTTTTTAATAAACATCTATTCTGGATATCCGCACAGTGGGAGACTTGTGGAGAAGCAGGAGGAGGGCTGTAGTAAAACTAATTCGAGATGGCAACAGGAGGGTGGATTGCTGGCGGAAGTAATGGGCGGGAGAAAGGCAGACTTGACCATCACACCGGTGGATCGAAGGTCTTTCCCGTTGTTAGGGCCACTAGCGTCCTTGGTTACTACTAAAGGAAGGGATTGCGATCTCCACAGCTGCACTCCGAGTTCCGCCTCTGCAGGCTGCGCCTCCCCAGCGCCGCCTAGCGTTGGGGAAGAAAGGGCTCCGGCAGACACGTGCCCCTCCTTCCTTCCCTGAGATCTAGGTAGGAGGCTGAGTCCCAGTTGGATGTCACAACCCCCTGGGCTTTGCAAAGCAGCCACCCTGATGCTAGGCCTAACAAACCCCCGCCCCCGGCTGTACAAGGAACTAGAGGGAGAGCGAGCGCATAGCAGTCTCCAACCCTGACTCACGTTGTACTCCCTCAGCCAGCGTTCCAGGCTGTCGTGCATCAATCGTAAAGATTCGCTGGAGATCAGTTTCCTTAGATTTTCTGCCATCGCTCGCTTTTCTGCTTGGCCCGGATGTGGGAGATGGAGATGTGGAGGGGACGAGTTGGTGGCCTCCGCAGGACCGCAGGGTGATTAGGCGGGCAGGGTGTTATCTTTCTGCGGGGCTCAGAGTGTGGCCGATGTTTCCATCCTCCCCCTCGGGTGGGACCGGGCAGGGTTCGGGAAGCCGGGGGGAGGTGCCCTGGGCCACAGCCGCCGCGCTTCATCCGCTGCCCGGCGCGGTCTCCTGGCTCCCCCGCGGCCTCGGTGAGCCCAGGCCATAAATACCCAGGCGATTATTAAACAAACCTTGACGTGGGCGGGCGGCTGCTAGGGACGCGCACAGGGGTGCCGTGGCAACGCCAGGTCGCGGCGCTGCCCTGGCAAGCCCACTAGCTTTCCTCCCGGGCCTCGGGCACCCAAGGAGCCGCAATGTTGTTGCTGCTGCCGCTGCTGCTCTGTCTCCTCCTGCTGCTCCTGCTGATGCTGCTGGCTGAAGGCGAGCGCGCCCCCTGCCACTGAGACTCCGGCGTGCTCCCCGGGCTGGAGGACACCAAGACTACACGGCAGATAGCAGCTGTACCAGACGGTCTCCAGTGTGAGATGGAGGGCCCGGGGTCAGCTGAAGGCCTTCCGTCTAGAAAAAGTAAAGGGTTTTTTTCCTAAAAAACCCTTGATTACTAAAGAATTTTTTGATTACTAAAGAAGCAGAAGTTTTTGATTACTAAAGAAGTATGTTTGACCCTTTTATTCTTTCACTTCTCAGGCCTTTAAAAATTCATTTATAACACCCAGAGTTTATCTGCATGAAACAGATAAACTACAATTTCCTTTCTTTTAAGTACAATTTCCATTCTTCATGCTTCTACCTTTTGCAATGCTCACGGCCCACTGGGAGGGTACCCAAGTCAATAGATTTTAGTTCCCAGATGTTCATTCACAAATGAAAGTTAATCCCTCGGGATTGGACAGGAATTGGTGGTATAATTTTAGAATCACTTTAAGTTCCAGTTAGTAATTCTCTAACTGAGATTCTCTAACTGATATTTTGTGAAAGTTCAGACTCGGTCTGACACTATTTCAAAAAGGTGTAGTAAGTCATATCAAAAGTTTGAACTACTTAAAAAATAGAACCATTTCAACCATCGTTAAGCACTTTGAAAGCTCATATTTTATACACCATCCAATGATGTACTGATTGCAAATCCTCCTTTTCTATTCATTAAAACAGTAAGTGTGGAGCAGGGAGCAGGGTGTTTGCTTGCTAAATATTTTAATTCAGTTCCATTCCCTAAGGTACTTGAAATTATATAAACATGCATATATCCAAGTACTGTGAAATTCAGATTTTTTACCACTTCTTGTTTCTATTTCTCTTAATTACAATGGTTTTATGATCCCCTAATTAAAAAGAGATGTTCGTTTCTGGGACCTGTGCTCCTACTATTTCCTGTAGGCCACAAAATAACTGTAAAGGTTCATAACGCATGTTATTTTATCATAGTAGAATAATTACTAAAGTAAAAAAAAATCACAAAAATCCCATTAAATATTTATTAGATGCTCTTTTCTTTTAAAACTATATGGAAGAGGAGGAAGGAAATGGAGAAAAACCTCACAAATTTCTTAATTTGGAGCCAATTACTTAATATTTCAATAGGCAATTGGAATTTTGAACAATCCTTTGCACATATTCATAAAAAACAAGTTAGAATATTATGTCAGATTAGAGATTAGATCTTCCTTGCTGTGGGCACTTTAACCCCTAATCCTTGGTTTCATCGTCCTTACAGAAGGATAATAGTTCTTACATCACAGAATTATTATAATGGACTAATTCTCCCGAAGTACTAACCACAGATACAGTGTTTCTGTATACAGTGTTTGGCATATACAGTGTTTCATAAGTGCTGTGATCACTGTTACTACAAATGTGATTATATTTAGCAAAAAAATTAAGTTAGAACCACTCTAAATCTCAACAATAAGGTAATGGTTGAGCCAATCATTTAATGAAATGTTGTGAAATTAAAATCTTATGATTGAAGCAAGTTTAGAATCTAGGAATTCTTACAATATTGGGTGGGCCAAAAAGTCCATTTGGGTTTTTTTTTCTGTAAGTGGCTCTCGTAGCATTAGTTATCTTTAACTTCCTTGGAAACAATTTTGTTACATTGTATCATGACAGCTGTCATATCAGTGTGCATTTTTTTAAAAAAACTTATGAAAATTGGTGAATTTTTATGTAGCTTTTAAATATTGAAAATGGAAGGAAATACACAACACTTTCGGCATATTATGTTTTATTATTTCAAGAAAAGTGCAAATGCAACTGAAATGCAAAAAAAACCAAAAAGATGTGTGCAGTGTACGGAGAATGTGCTGTGACTGATGGTACATGTCAATTAGTGCCTGCGGGAGGTTTCGGGCGGACTATGCTTCTCCACAGTTGGGTAGAAAGGTTGGAGTTGATTAATGTCTCTAGTTGAGGCATCGAGAACAATCAGCATTCTACCATGCAGGAGATAACCAATATACTCAAAATATCCAGATCAGTAAAATTATTGGTGAAAATGAAATACATGTCTTTTATTTTAAGGAAAAATTAAATGGATTTTTTGGCCAACCCAGTATCTTAGAGAAGTTGAAAGGTCAACTACTGAGTAGCCTGGAAGGTGGGCATTCCTGCTTTTTCTGTGCCAATGGTGGTTTTTCATGACTTCACACAACTGTTTAAACACTTGTTTTTCCTATTTACATACTAAAAACATGGACTAAATGAGTTCTAAGATCTCTTGCAGTTGTGACATTCCTTAATGTTAGTTTCTGTGTTTTTTAACATACTGGTTAAGGTTCAGATTGAGCAAATCTTGCCCTTTGTTACAATTTTTGGTTCCCAGTTCTGTTCAAGTCAGGCCTTGATTCTGAGAGCATTAGCTAATCATCAAAAGTTAAGCATCTTTCTTGAGTACAGTTTATTCTGTAGGCTTGCTGGAATAACAAATACACACACCTTATCCCCGAGAAATAAACAAGGTATTTCTCCAAGGTCGCACTTTAAGTCAATTTAAACTCAGCTCAAACTGATAAAAATCTTCCCAACTCCTTCAACCCCTCAGAGCTGATCACTCTCATCTCTATGTTTTGTGTCTTTTAAGTTCCAGGCATGTTAATACTGTTGTGATTATTACAAAATATTGTACTTATTTGTCTGCCTCTGATATAACCTTGTGAACTTCTTGAAGAAAAGAGGCTAATTTAGCCCTGTATCTCAGCACAGCAACTAGACCCTTTATAAAAGTTTGTGAAACTAAATTGTAACAAAGGGGAAGAAGAAAAGAAGGGAGGGAGGAGATGATTGGCTCCTTTGTATCTGATGTCACAATCCCTCTGAGTTTGAAGAGAGCAAACTTAATAGACAGCCAGCGTTCTATGGCATCATAATTCTATCTCCTAGCCAGCAGCCATGTGTTCTAGAGAACTGTTATGTGTCAAATGCCTGGATGGAATAGGCTTTCAGAAAGTCCTTTGTTTTGTCCACTATGAATATTACCTACCTTGGTCAACTGGTGTAGGGTTTTAAGAAGCCAATGAAAGATGAACAGAATCCACTCAGTGAAGTGAGAGCTGTGGATGCAGTTTGATGCTTCACCAAACATAAATATATGCAATAAGCACTAAGGACGGTGCAGCCAAAGAATAATCTGTCCTGCTCAGGCCGAAGCTTTCCCGGGCGCCTGGTCCCCTTCCGTGTGCCACGTTATTCTCGTCTGTATCAGGAGCTTGCTCCTTTGGCTCAGGGCCTATGTTACGACTTGAAGAAAGTCTTTTAGCTTTGCTGGCCCACTTGCATCAAGTTTTCTCTAAATGCAGTTTTTATTGGTGGCATTGCTAAGGCACTTTCCTTGTAGGTAGCGAAACACTAGTTTGTCCATTTACTCAGTGTTCTGTAACCTGACTGCTCTCTTTTTCCAGTTTACTAGCTTCCTTTGGTCCTTTTTGTTCTTTACCACGATGGAAGGGAAAAATTTTTTTAAAACCCACCCACTGGTGAAAGAAATTAAGTTGACCTGAACAAAGTGGTGGTTAGGGGTACTGACCCCTGCAAAGTTGAAAATTTGCGTGTAACTTTTGACTTCTCCAAAAACTTAACTAATAGCCTACTATTGACCAGTGCCTTGCCAATAACATGGAGAGTTGATTAACATATTTGTCTGTTATATGTATTATGTACTATATTTTGTACTGTATTATTACAATAAAGTAAGCCAGAGAAAAGAAAATGTTAAGAAAATCATAAGGCAGAGAAAATAAATTTACAGTACTGTATGTACTGTCCTGTACATTTTTTTAATTGAAAAAAATATGCATATAAGTGGGCCCACACAGTTCAAATCCATGTTCATGGGTCAACTGCAATCGACAGGGATCTGAGCTAAAGGCAGGTTCTCCCACCAGACGGAAGCAGAGATGTTGTTTTCTGCATAATAATATTAAGCATTCCGACTGGTCCTATGGTAGTGAGTTATCAGAACTCAACTAAAGTTAGTGTCAATAATAAGCATTCTATGCACAGAGTAACAGTTCAGAATTTTTCTGGAAAATTACATCATTCCCACTATTTACTAAACCACAAAACAAGAGGATGCTTTTTAATATATCACAACCATATCACTTTAGCACCTAAGTAAACTATAGAACATTTGTAGCAAACAGAGATTAGAAGGAAAACAAAATCGATGGAGTGGGATTCTTAGGGCCCCAAGAGAGCCCTCCTATTTCAAACCAGGTTTCCATCAACACAGTTAGTTTAAAAAAGAAGGCGCTCTTGCCCTCCTTTTTTTTTTTTTTTCAGCTCTACCAGCCAAATGCACAGCAAGTACTTGGCTCTGTGAAAACGGTCACTGAGCAGGTGAGTCTGGGACATGCATGGTGAGCTACTTGCAAAAGTGCCATGGGCAGGACTTACACTGTGAGGTGCTTTTAAACTCCCCAGGAGAGGGACATCGGACAGCAGGGGGGCAGTCCTAGGAGGATGTTGAAATAGATCTTTTTAGTACATTTCACAAGCATTTACTAAACTTCTAGTGTGACAGAAACGTCTACCTTAATCATAAAACAAAATTAGACTCTGTGCCTGCTCCCTAGGTCTCACAGTCTGTCCAGGAGAAAGAGAGACGGCCATGGTTCAGTGCAGCAAATTATATTAGAGTAAACATGAAATTCTGTGGAAACACAGACCCTCCCCTTACCTCCTCCTCCATCCCCCCGAAGAAAGGGTCAGAGAAAGTTAAAGAAGAAAGTGATATAGAGAAGCCAGTTGTGGAAGGACAGAGTTCACCAGGAGGAGAAGAGAAAATGGAACAGGCCGCACAGTAGCAGGAAACATGAACTCGCATGAAGATGCAGAGAATGATGAATGCCAGTCTGATGTGCAGTAGAATCAGAGGAAAGACTGGAAAAATAGTCCTGGGTTCAGCTATGATGGGTCTTACATACCAGGCTAAGAAAGTGATATTTATTTTGTAGGCAATGGGGAAGCAGCAAAAAAAAAAAACTGTAGAGAGATTAATAGTATACTCTGGTCTCTCTAGTATATCATGTTGGAAATCCTAGAGGCTACCTTTGGAGGAGGCAGGCCTGGTCCCAGGAAGAACACTCGGTGAGATGGGAGTTAATGAGATTCTTCTCCAGGGTAATGCATGGTGAGCATTAGAGTGGGCACATGTCCACTTAGGTATTAATATTTTTTACTCAAAAGAAAAAAATTGATTCAATATTCACCCATCAAAGTCACTAAGTACATATTATATACTTGTCTCCAAACGTGTTCAGGATTTGGAGCAGCACAGAAATATAACACACTGCCCCTACTTTGTAATGAGTTTACAGCTTCCCCAGGAGCAGAGCATATGTGTGAAAGATGAAATAACATAAGATAGTGTTTTATGAGGTATCACATGGGAGCCATAGACAGTTAAAGCCCAGAGGAGCAATGATTGGCTGTAATTGTCGGGAGAAGGTGGGACTGACAATGGAATTTGGGGGAGGATAAATTTAAAGACAAGACAGATGGGCAAGTAAATAAATATCAGTTAGAGTGGGATAAATGTGACAATAGAGACATGCTTGGGATCACAGGGAGGTGCATGGAAATCAGAAATTTGTGATGAGGAGAAAGAGTAAAGGCTGTCTGGCAGACATTCCTTGAGCTGAGTTTTAGTGGACAAGTAGGAGAATAGCTGGATAAAAAAGAGAAATATCCACATGTGCAAAGGCACAGAATCCTTAACAACCTGCTGTGTTCAGGCAAATACACGGGAACTGCACATACTGGATGTGGCTGAAGTAAAGAGTGAGCATGTGGGCCCTGGCCAGGTAGCTCAGTTGGTTAGAGCATCATCCCCCTACGCCAAGGTTGAGGGTTTGATTCCCAGTGAGAGCTCATTTAAGAATCAACCAATGAATGCATAAGTAAGTGAAACAACACTTTGATGTTTCTGTCTCCCTTCCCTCTTTTAAAAATCAATAAATATTTTTTTTAATTTTTAAAAAGTATGAGTTTGTGGAAGGGGCAGGAAAAGAGGCTAAAAAGAATAGATGGAAACCACAAAAATAAAGGGCCTTATATACTAATATAAGGAGTGTAATTTTTATAATAAAAGGTACTGGAGGATTTTAAAGCTTCCAGGTGAGGAGTGACATGATCTGGTTGGTATTTTAGAAAGATCACACTAGAAATAGCATAGGATGACTTTGAGGTTTCTGACCGGATGGCCTGTCATTCACTAGGGGACTTCATGAAGAGCAGACCAGGGGAAAGATTATGAGTTCAGTTTTAGAAGGTGCTGAGCTTGAAGTACGAATTAGTTTCTTAAGGGCTGCTGTAAGGAATTCCCTCACAGTTGATGACTTCAAACAACAGAGATATATTCTCTTGCGGTTCTGAAAGCTAGAAGTCAGAATTCAGCAGGGTTTGTTCCTTCTGGAAGCTGAGAGGGGGAGGCATCTGTTCTACGGCTCTCTCCTGGCTTCTGGTGACACGACTTCACATCCCCTGCCTTGTAGACACTTCACCTTGTAGACACTTCATTGTAGACACTCTCTGCCTCTGTCTCCACATCATGCTTTCCTCTCTATGTGTCTCTGTCCTCTCCTCCTCTTTTGAGGACACCAGCCATTAGATTTAGGGTGCACTAGCATCCAGGGTGATTTATTTTGAGATCCTTAATTACATCTGCAAAGACCCTATTTCCAAATAACATCCCTTTCACAGATACCAGGGTTGGACCCGTATGTATCTTCTGGAGACATTCTTCAACCCACTATAAAGTGAATCGAGGGATAACTGTCTTTAAAACCTAACTAGTAGCAGGCCTGCGAACCAGAGTATCGTGGTTCGATTCCCAGTCAGGGCACATGCCTGGGTTGCAGGCCAGTTCCCAGCAGGGGACACACGAGAGGCAACCATACATTGATATTTCTCTCCCACTCTTTCCCCTTCCCTTCCCCTCTCTCAGAAAAAAAAACAAAAAAAAACAAAAAAAAACTAACTAGTACTCTCTCCTTGGTTTGCACTTCTAACTGCTAGTAATATGCAACAGGCAAAAGAAAATGCAGAATTAAATATTCTTATATGGTAGAAAGAACAAAGACTTTAATAAGGTGGAACTAGGTTCCATCCTGACTCTTTATTAGTTGTAAACTTGGTTAGCCTTTTAACTTCTATGAGTCTTGATTTCTTCATTTGTAAAATGGGGATATGATTTATCCCATATGACTGTTGGGAGAGTTAAAGAGTCATTGCCAGGTATACAGTGGTCTCTAAATATTATTATTTCAAAAAAAAGTTTGATGATAATATATTTTGAAAAGACCACATTAGCCAAAGTCGGGGGAGAGAAGGGAAAAGTTTATGAGGGATTTATTATGCAACCAATTACCTATTTTAAATTCACAACAATCTTCTGATGTAAAGTAGGCAGAGCAGTGAAATAATGGTTCCAGACATCAAAAAGCAAAATTTTGATATAGTTCCTAGAGAAAAGTTTTGCCAGCCAGTCTCCTTGGTGCTTCCTGCTGAATTAGGCAGCCCTAGGGCTCAAAGGTGCTTATTAGAAGTGGTTCCAGTTACCTGAGAAACAGTTTTTGTACCTTGGTTGCTACTGCCCTCACTGCATTAAAAACAAAAACAAACAAACAAAACCAAGAGGATTATTGGATCATACTGAAGACCAGGAACAAGGAATGCGTACTCAAGTGACTTGTGCATTTGGGTGCTTCCTGGGGGGCAGCACCTCTGTTAAATTAGGCCCCTTGGGATGTACGACCCCCAATGCCACAGAAAAAAGCATGAGACTTTATAGGTCTTCCGAAGGTAAGAAGCATCCCTGAATGGCTGTCTTCCTTGAAGACTCTGTTTTCATGTTTTTAGCTGGCTAACTGTCGACTTCTTACCTCCTATCCATCTACGTTGTCACCCCTGTCTATTCTCGTGTATACACCCCTGTCACCACGTGTACTCTCGAAAATGCCCCTTTCCGGCCCAGCCTGGAGACTTCGGCCGGTGACGTAACAAGAATGCCCAGCTCGGGATCGCACCAGCCCAGCAAGACCGGGAATGGAGGGGAAAGGGAGAGGCATCCTCGTGCCCTTTTGGAAGAACCCAGAGGAGGAATCCCCGCGTGCGTGAGAAAATGTTCCCAGGACCATAGTCCCTGGTGCGGGGGGGTGGCAGAGCTCGCAGGGCTCCAAAGCCCACTCCTACTGTGCAGTAGCGGGAGTGCAGTGAGCGCAGTGAGCGCAGTGAGCGCGGGCCCTCCCACCCCTGACTCTAGGGCGCAGGCGCAGGCGCCGGTGCTGGCGGGCGCGGGAAGATGGCGGCGGCGGCAGCTGCGGCGGCGGCGGAGCAGGTCTGTGAGCCCTGCTGCGGCAGGGCAGCGGCTGGAGGGGCAGGGCGCCGGGGTCCTGCCGCTGGGTCCCTCTGTAGGGCTGGCTGGTGGGGGCCGGGGCACTAGGGCCAGCGGAGGCCCGGCGCTCGCTGCGGAGCCCGGCTCCGCAGGTCTGGGCGGGGCAGAAGGAGCTGTCCGCACCCAGGATGCTGGCAAAGGCCGGGCTGCACCCCTTGCCTGGCTGTCCCTCGGCCAGGGGAGCAGGGATCGCTGTGCTGAGAGTCCAGAGGCGGCCTGGCAGCCCGGAGCCTGTGGCCGGGACGAGCCCCGTTCCGCGGCCAGAGAAGATGCGGGTAAAAATAACCTCAGCCCTGGCGCCGCCAAGAAACAGTCAGCTGTCGCCCGGTGCCCGCTCGTGGCTACTTCTTGTTTCTGCCATCCTCTCCAGGGATATGAGACGTCCAGGAGTCGTCTGCGCTTTGGTTTTTGGAGCGTTAGTCACCAGTGTAAAAGTGTCTCCTGTCCGACTGGTTTAAAGTAATTTTTTAAAATGCTTTATGTAGTATTTCCTGATCTGCATTGTGGTCTTGTAACTTAGAATAGTTTCAAAGGCTATTTTCCCCCAAAATGCAAGAGAATATATATATGAATATGTGTATGTACATATATATATGAATATGTGTATGTACATATAGATATGTACTTATAGTTACTGGGGTGATCTCTTATAACAAACATAATTTTCATGGTCACTTTTTTTCCCTTTAACCGTTTTTTTTTCCTTTAGGAAAAAACAACTATGATGAGCTAGTTTCTTTTGAAAATGTCCCAGTATCATACATTGTTTAAAAAATACGAGTCAACTGACATTGTTTTTTCCAGAAAATCTTTTTTTCTGGAAATATTTTCTTAGGTAATTAACTGCTTTCAGAGACCCATTAGATAGATATTTATATACACATCACTGAAAGGGTCATTCTAAGGGATATAAAACATAGATGACACAAAATCTCCCTTCAGGGAGCTTAAAGTCAAATCGCCTAACAAATGCAGAACAATCAGCTAAAGACAATAGGCAAGCTACAGGTTGTAATGGTAGAGTGGAATACATAGATTAGAATAGAGTAGAATAAATACAATAATAGAATAGAATAGAATAGAATAGAATAGAATAGAATAGAATAGAATAGGTGAAAGGAGACAAAGCTTGCAGTCGTTGAGATTAAAATTGTTCTTTGACTTTCCCGATTTCCCTCCTAATTTATCAGCTTCTGTTTTAAATGGTGCTTTTTGAGTCTTCATCACCTATTGATGTTCTTGAGGTTCCACCAAGGTTTCATTCTTGCTTTACACATAAACCAGCCGCCTGACCCATCCCTCCATCTCCACTTCAAAGTTATTAGGCATTTATGTCTCTAGCCCTGAATTTTACTGAATTTTCCACAGGCAGTTCAAACTCAAAATGTTCAAAACTGGATTGTACTATATTTACTATTAAAAGGGCTACAACCATTCATTCTCCTGGTTGACCTAGCCAGGAACTTGGGATCTGAGCCAGCTTAGGGGTACTCAGAAGGGACCTGCACTTTGTCTAATGCTGTGCTGTCCCAGGCTTGGTATTTGAAGGAAGAAACCCACGTTGTCTTTTTACCTTCAGATCCCACCAGCTGTGCAGTAGGCCCTACTTGGGAGTGACCTCAGATCCCACTTTGTCTCATTCACATCCAGTCCTGCGCCAGGTCCTGCCTCTTAACACCTCTGCCCAATCTTTTCATGTCCAGTGCCAGAGCTTGGTCAAGCCCTCATTTGGGGCTGTTGGAGAAACCTTCCGTTGATATCTTCAACTCTAAATTCTTCTGTTCCAGTTCATCTCTTTTTTGGGTTGATTTTGCTGCAATGCAAATCTAAATTGTATCACTAACATTTTAAATTTTGGGTTTCCCATCACTGTAAAGATAAAGTCCATTGTTCTTGACACGGCACTTATGTCCATTCATTTACTGGCCTCTAAAAACATCTCTGACCTCAATTTTCCCTATTCCTGTACTTACCCTCTTCACCACCCACATAAAGCTACAAAACTAGCTTACCCAGAGATAGTTGTTACCAGAATTTCCATGCTGTTCCCTCTGCCTGGAATCCACTTCTCTGCACTTTTTGCCTGGCTAGCACCTGTTTATCTGGTTCAAGATTCAACTGAAACCTCAAATTGTCTTAAAAACCTTCAACTGATGCCCCACTCACTAAGTACAGTTGCCTTCCTCGCATGTACCCTTTCGGTATCCTGTACACTGCCTCACTACGGTGCTCTCTGTGTGCAAGTGCAGTTGGTCCTGGCCTTGTCTGTCTACCCTGCTTGCTTGTGAATTCATTGAGGGTGGTTGCTATATCTTGCTAATCTTGGCAGCCTGAGCGTCTGGCATATAGTCCCTCTTCAGTAACTGTTAAATGCATCCAGTGAATATAATAATGCGCATGAGCTGGCAGAGAAGAGTAAAGAATGCATCCCACAGGGATGAATTTTGCCCCACCCTCCTTTATGTAGACCTATATTCAAACTGGTGAAGACTTAAGTTACCCACCTATCAGCAGTGTCACCAGTGTCTATGAAAATTAGAAGAAAGCACACCTCTCAAGGTATTTTACTACGTTCGGGGAAAATTGTCAAGATGCACATGCGGTGCTAAAACATACACAGTGCCAGTGAACCTCGCAGGTGTGGCGCCGCACACGGCTGCACAATCCCCACAAGTGCGTCTGCATTCTGCTTTGTGAGAAAAATCTGTCGAGTAGGTAGAATTATCTTCTATCGAGCCTTCCTTACTCTCTGTGGAATTTTACAGTTTTTATCTGCCACATTACTCACTGTGATTATTCCTGCCTTTTTCCACAAGCCATCAAGCACCCTGCTACCCATGACATGAGATGGCCTTGCCTTTAACATTCTTAGGAAAAAGAAGAATGTTTGCCCTTCCTTGCAATTCAGTGACGTGGGAGCCCAACCTTGAAGACTGCTCTTTCTCCTAAACTCCATCACTTCACTGATTTTGCAGGGTCTCGTTTCCCACGTTGCCCTGCTCCACTTTGAGATCTTCGGTCTGCCCCTCTTGACATGTTTCCCTCTGCCGTCAACCCTGCAACTCCTCCCCCAGACTGGGGGAGGGAGACAAGGTACTAAATCAGAAGAAGCATGGTTTCCCTCTGACAGTGCGTAAGTCTTTGGATACAATCTTCTTTCTTTACCGTCCTCTTCTTCCAGACTCATGTAAACTATGCTGGCATCTTTTCCAGGCTATTCCCTATTTGCCAATTTGCTATACAAAGTTCATCTTTGAAAGTTATAGAGGCACCTCCTAAGAAATCAAGCTCAGCAACACTGTACATCCTGGATTTTCTTACCATTTGTTGCATTTCTTATTTTTCCTTTGTTCCTACACATTGAGTTTCTCACTATTACATCTCATAGATTTAACTTTACTTGAGGCTGAGGGCTCTCAAACCTGTATCTCTAGTCTTGATGACCTAATATGCGCCGCATCCTTCCCACCGCCTTGGAGTCACATGTCATTTCTCATTTAGTTCAAATTCAACACGTAGTACCTCCTCCCTCCTTCATTCCCCATATTGAACTAGTCACCATTTAGTAAACATGAGACTCTTTTTCTTAACATGGCTACAAGTTCAGTTGACTTTTCTCTTGAAGCATATTTTTTTATCTATCCTTTCTCATCCCATTGTAGTTTAGAACTTCATTACCACAAACCTCTATTCCTGCAACATCCCATCAGCCTACTTCCTGGTAGTCACATTTCCTAGCTCACCTACAAATGCCCCCACATTTAGCACCCTGAAACACGTCATTCTCATTCAGAAACTTCTAATGGCTCCCAGTTAAACAGACATAAAGACTAGCATTTGTACCCAGCAGTGCAAAAACGTTCATAAGCTGCCCTTCTTTTCCTACTTTATTCTCCCTGAATTGCCAGATCCTACAAACCCCCTCTGGCCCTTTGCCTGACAACTGCAAGCCGTCCTGTCTCTCCTCCCATTAAACTCCACAGCATGTATTCTCTATACTGTTGATTTTGGCCCCTGGACATACAGAATACTTTACTGCATTACCGTTTTATGTACCCAAGTCACATTTATAATATCTAGATGGTAAGGATCCTGCCCTGTATTTCTTTTGTTTTCCTATGTATGCTATTGATGTTTAAGCATAAAGTGCTTAATAAATGCCTACTCAGTAAACAAACTTTCTGGAAGCTCTAAAGTACATGTACATTGGGCAGGATCCATTTCTACCTGTCCCCTTTGCGTTTGTGACACACCAGGTGATTACCTAACGTGTGGTGCAACTGGAGGCCACGTCAGCTTCTCAAGCTTTGTGGTCCCGGGTCCTCTTTACACTCCTAAAAATTACTGAGGATCCCTAAGGGCTTCTGTTTACACGGGTTATATCCATTGATATTTACTGTATTAGAAATTAAAACTGAAAGAGATTCTGACACAGGGATGCACAGAGCACAGTTTCTTTAGCTGTCAGAGCAGCGATGTCGTCACCCGTAGGCATGGAGCCTGTGGAAGCTCCCTGTGCATTCGGGAGGGGAGAGTAGAAAAGTGAAGTCACATCTTAGTGTTGTTTTGGAAACAGTCTTCACCCCTCAGAGCCCTGAGAGGGTTCAGAGGACCCCTCCAGGACTGCCCAGCCCATACTTTAAAAACCGCTGGTCTACGGTAGTGTTAACTTCAGCCAACTTTTAGCTTTGATAACTAACAAAGTCTACCAGCCTTTCCAAATTCCTTTCATGTAAATGAAGACTTATAACTAAAAAAATAATAAATGTATAAAGGGCCCACGGACAAAGACAAAGGGGGGAAGGATTGAGGGCGGGAAGTGGGGGTGGGTGGGGTAGGGGAAAGTGGTGGTGGGAAAATGGAGACCACTGTACTTGGAAAACAAAAAAAGATATTAAAATACTACTAATAGATCAGTAAAAAAGATTACCCACTCTAGAATGTATATGTCCACTCTTCCCCCAAATGAGCGAACCGTACGCTTTACCGAAGTAGGACAGTTCAAAGCAGAGAGTGGAAATGAGCTATCAGGTGGTCCCACCAAGAGTTCTCTACCTGCCTCCAGCACTGAGTAATGCCCTCACTTGGAGCCTGAGACCCAATGCGATTTGAAGTTTGTTAGTGGGAAATCCATCACTGAGCAAGTCAGCTTTCTTATATGCACTTAATGAGTGACTGTGTCAAAAAGAGAGCGTGTAGCTGTGCCAACATGTTGTACTGTGTTTTAGCAAAGTTCCAACGGCCCTGTAAAGAAGTCCATGCGTGAGAAGGCTGTCGAGAGAAGGAATGTCAATAAAGAGCACAACAGTAACTTCAAAGCCGGGTACATTCCCATTGACGAGGACCGCCTCCACAAAACCGGCCTGAGAGGGCGCAAGGGCAACCTAGCCATCTGCGTGATTGTCCTCCTGTTCATCCTGGCTGCCATCAACCTCACTGTGAGTGTGGGGCGCGGGCTGTCGTTTTTCATCATGTGGGACTTTTCTTCCGAGCGTCAGTGACATCGTGGGCTTTGTTTCCATGATGTCTTTTGGGACCCTCTTACTTCCTGATTTTCTAAACATATCGTATCTCATGTTGAGTATATATGTATATATGTTAGTACACCAAAACTGCCATGTATTCATTGTATTTTTAAAAAGTGTTCATGGATTCTTCCCATTAAAGGGCTTTTAAAAGGTTAGAATCAACTCAATAGAAGAGACCTTTGCCAAGATGATTTTATTGTTTCACCTCTCCTAAAAAATGTAATCCTCTCTCTTTTCGTTCAGTTTTTTTTTTTACATTTAGTCTTGTCTTCCCAGCTAGATTTTTAAAGTTGTAAACCCTTGGATGGCAGTGAGGGGTGATATTTTATAGTCTTAAATCTCTGTTGTCAAAGAGGAAAGCATCGGGTATGCTACCTTACACAAAGGTGCAGGGGACATGGCATGTTGCCTTTTTCAAAGATATTGGCTTTTTTATGGAAGAACACTTTTAATCCAAGTGTATTACTATCTAAGGGTTACATTTTCAGAGAGTGATTATTGGTATACCTAAGACTATGAATGTGGACTTCAGCAGTTCTAAGGTGATTTCATTTATTTTTTTACTTCAAATACTTCCAAGCAAGTCCTTTGTATTTATATACAACTAAAACTCTGTCTGATTCTTTACTTTAAAAGAGCTGGTACTATAAATAGCTTACTAGGAGCACATATTCCAAAGCTATTTTATTTTGTTAATTTATCTTACTGGAAACTTTTGATTAAGGTGGCAGATTAAAGACATTTTCTTTCCGTTTCTCTCTAAAAAAGCTCATCCCAGGTAAAATGTCCATACTTTCCAAGAAATACCTTGGAAGAAAGCGGAGGCAACTGAAATGCTAGGTGATAATGGAGACAAAAGGGAGGAGGAGGAACAGCAAGAAACTGGTGTGGGTGCTGGGGAGGGGGTGGCAGGGTGTGCTGGCGAAAGTGCCCTGCAGAATCCTGAGAAGCTTCAGGAACGGGAAGTACAAGAACTTTGAAAAGCAAGGGTGAGGTGAGAACTGAAAACAGAGCTTGCCTGGAAAATCTGTAGAAGGAGCCGAGCCGTGAGGTCCCTGGCCTTCCTCTGCCTTCCAGCCAGCAGTCAGTCAACCCTCCTAACCCGACTCGAGAAAACGCTGAACTGGAGAGGCTTCTTACGTGAGATGGGCTTCTACGCAGAAGGCCAGCAAGTCTGAATGCCGAGCACTGAGAGTTCCTTCCCAGGCTCCCTCACCCCCATCTCATCCTCCACCTCCAGCTTCCCGGCACCACGTGGTGCTTATATCCTGTGGGCGAGAGATTAGCGCTCCTTCTCTGGAGAAACTGGAACACCTCAGAGGAAAGACCTGGAGATGCTGACACTTGGCAGGTCCCAGGGAAAGGGCCACAAGAGGCCTCAGTCACAAGCCCACCCCGCGCAGAAGTTTGTGTGGAGTTTTTGCAACCTCACTGTTGATTATGGACACTGAGCCTCCAGGGATCGATCGATCGATCTATCTATCTATCTATCTATATATCCTCCAGGGATCAATATATATATATATATATATATATATATATATATATATATATTTTTTTTGGAAAGCTCCCAGAACTGAAAAATGATAGAGATAAAAAACAACCAAACCATGGGGAAAGTAGGAATGCAAGAAGATAAATAAAGCACAGAAGACTTAAAAAAAAAAAACACTAAAATCAATATCTTCAGAGAAGAGAGGATATTGCATCCATGAAACAAGGAGCAATTAAAGAATAAGGAACCCACAGAACTAGATAGATAGATAGATAGATAGATAGATAGATAGATAGATAGATAGATAGATGGATAGATCTTGGAAGACAAAGAAAAGGAACTCTTCTGGAAAGTTTAACATATTAAGAATTAACCCAGGAACTGTAACACTATGTTAATAGGTGTTTCAGAAAGAGAGAGGAGGGAACACACCGGGGAGAAAGTTTTCAAATAAGCCAAGAAAACTTCCTAGAACAGACTGGAAGCAGCGTACGGGGTCCAGCAAAGCCCAGAGGAAAGACTCATGCCGAGGCCGTCACTGTGAAAGTGAACCAGGGACAAAGGGAAGATCCTAAAGTCTTGCAGAGGGAAAGGAACAGGTTATGTATAAGGAGTAGAACATCACAGTGGCATCAGACATGTCAAAAGCAGCCCTGGAAACTAGCAGGTAAGTAAGCAGGGACCTTCAGAATTTGGAGAGAAAACCATTTCAAATCTAGAAACATACACAAAGCTGGTCTATTGTCAGATGTGAGGGATTTTAAAGACATTTTTTAGACATGAACACTCGCGAGAATTTTTACTTCACATACATTCCTTCTAAGGAAGCCACGGGAGGACGTGCTCTACCAACAGGAGGTACCAGAGCAGGAACGTTGAGGATGAGGATGCAGGAAAGGGGTATCTGCAGGGAGGAGGACAGCAGGAAGCTCCGGCGCAAAAGTGAGGGCGGTTCCTGACCACAGCTGTGCCGCAGACCCCCGAGCGAAGTCCAGGCCGCAGCCAGAAGACGGGCTCCGGAGAGAGAGAAACAGCACTCGTAGGTCCTCTGGGAGGTTTGGACTTCTAGGCCGTTTTATTGTGAGACATTTGACAAAAAGGTTGGAGGGTTTGAAAAGATTTAGTCAAATTTTCAAAGAAACTAAGCAAATGAAGGGAAGACTGTTAAACTCTGAGAGACACAACGTACCAGAAAGCAACTGCTGTCATCGTGTAGCACTTGGCTGAGCAGTGACTAGTATTTACATGGTCATGAACTGAAAATACTAAACGTGGATTCAGCCAAAATTTGACATTGAAGTTGGGGGAGAAGAAATGTGAAGGAGCTAAAATTCTTACCTGTTACAATAAAAAATTAATAGATAAAACCTAAAATTGATGAGAGAAGAAATGATGCACAGATAATAATTTTAAAAGATGAAGATAAATTCTAGGCAGAATTGATAACATTGCCGAATGCTGTTGTCCCTGGGGGAGAGATGGAGAGAGAGGAAATGAACTGCTCTTCCTCTGTTACAGACCTTGCAGCGCTTTTGACCTTCAGGTATGAGCGTGTAACATCCTGATATACACGAAACAGTCTCTTGTATAAGTGGGAAACCCACTGATATGTGCATCTCACACTGAAACACTTTCAGAAGTTTTCACCTTTGGTAATTATTCTTCCAGTGCGTTTTCCAGCCCTGTTCAGTGTTTGCTGCTTACTGATAGCGGGCTTGGGTCCCTTTTCAGATAACCCTGGTCATCTGGGCGGTGATCCGCATCGGCCCCAACGGCTGCGACAGCATGGAGTTCCACGAAAGCGGCCTGCTTCGATTTAAGCAGGTGTCCGACATGGGGGTCATACACCCTCTGTACAAGAGCACGGTCGGGGGAAGGCGGAATGAGAACTTGGTCATCACGGGCAACAACCAGCCTGTAAGCCACCGAATTTAACCCAGGGGCATGAGAGAAAAGTTTTTCATTAGAAAACTAATCTGATTTTTGGAAATGGGTATTTTTCTTTAAAATTCATAAACATATTTAATATTATTGGTTTTATAATTTATTAATGTTAGATGTTTCCTTAATATTCTAGATTTTGTTTTACGGTCACTTATTTTGTGATAGGTACAATTACTATAAGAAATCATAGTTTACTCCCTTCTTTTGTATACAAAAAAAAAAGCATTTTAAAAAGTACCTTCGCAGGTTTGAATACCCTCTGCTTTCTGGGAGTCTAGAGGAGAATGCGCCAATATAGCCAGTGGCAGCCCCTGCCAACTGGCGGCTGTAAGACAAGATTTTAACTGCAGAGAACAAGGGGGTGCCCGTCTGAGCCTCCACCCCTGCGTTTGTGCAGAGCAGTGCAGCACATAACTCCGTGAGCCCCCGCTTTAAAGAATCTTTCTCCCAAGTGGGTAGAGGGTGGGCAGACAGATGCAGTTAAACTTATTTGAAATTAATCTGATATTGGGCCCTGGCTGGCGTGGCTCAGTGGATGGAGACCCAGCCTGGGAAATTAATCTGATATTGTACAGTGTTCTTCTAGTGTTCTTGGTGAACTTTGGATCCAGTATTCTTCGAAAACATATTCACAATAAAATGTTTTTTCTGAAGATTGTTTTTCAGCAAGGAACAACAAAACTCAGTGTAGAAAAGAACAAAACTTCTATCACAAGTGACATCGGTATGCAGTTTTTTGACCCAAGGACTCAAAATATTTTATTCAGCACAGACTATGAAACTCATGAGTTTCATTTGCCAAGTGGAGTGAAAAGTTTGAATGTTCAAAAAGCATCTACGGAAAGGGTACGATTTGTTTTCTTTGCTTTATTAATGGGAGAGAATTACTGTCTAAAGCAACTATTTTCAACCTTTTTCATCTCATGGCACACAAAAACTATTAAAATTCAGCAGCACACCAAAAATATATTTTTTGCCAATCTGACAAAAAATAGAGGTATACTTTTGACTCACTGACACCAGGTGGTTTTGGTAGTGTTGGCTGTTGTCATTTTTATTTAACAATCTAGTGGAAAAGAAGTCAGTGCCCCTGACTAAGTAGTCAGGTGTTGCATGCTTTAAAATTCTGTGGCACTCCAGTTGAAAATTGCTGGTCTAAAGGTACAAAGTGGGAGGGGATTTTTATGGTTTTATGGTGGCTTGAAAGAAATTCCAGAACAGCGGAAAGGGTGAGCTCTAGGTGCATCATGACCTAACCTACGTGGTTGTTATCAGGTCCTCTCTTTACCTCAGCATCCGTAAAACATGAGTAAAAACATTGGCCCTGCACGCTTCCTGGTCGAAACTGCTATGCCTCTCTCTCTGACAGTAATTCTCACTTTAATTTAGAAACTCTTTTCACTACTTTTTTTTTTTAATTTTCAGATTACCAGCAATGCTACTAGTGATTTAAATATAAAAGTTGACGGACGTGCCATAGTGCGTGGAAATGAAGGAGTGTTCATTATGGGCAAAACCATTGAATTTCACATGGGTGGTAACATGGAGTTAAAAGCAGTGAGTATTTTTTTTAATTTTAAGAGAATTATTAGATTCTTGGGCACATAAATCTACATGTGAAATAGTGTACAATTGCTAAAAATTGTATTGTAGTTGTATACTTTTTGATATGGAGAGATGTTCAAAATGGGTTGTGAAGTTAAAGTTAGAAAATAATTTGTGAAATAACTCATTTTTATTTTGCAAAAATCTGGAAGGCATGCCAAATGTCAACAATGGTTAGCTATGGATAGCAGGATAACAGATGACTTTTATTTTTATTTTTATTTTATTTCTGCTTGCCTGTCATTTTCTTTTTAAAAAGTTTATATGATGATACTTATATTATTTTAAAATACAAAAACCAAAACCAAACAACAATACAACTTTCCAAAGAAAATTCTGGAATACCAAAGTAAGTATACATTCTGTGAAGTTTTTGGTTTCTTTTCAATTAAAGATTTTTCATATCCCGCCCTGGCTGGTGTGGCTCAGTGGATTGAACGCTGGCCTGCAACCAAAGGGTTGCTGGTTCAATTCCTAGTCAGAGCACATGCCTGGGTTGCAGGCCAGGTTCCCAGTTGGGGGCACATGAAAGGCAACCACACATTGATGTTTCTCGCCCTCTCTTTCTCCCCTCTCTAAAAATAAATAAATAATATATTTTTTAAAGATTTAAAAAGAAAAGATTTTTTATATCCCTTCTTGGATTTTATATCTAGTGATGTGAAAAACAATTAGCAAATGTATAAAATGTAATTCTATTTATACATCTGTTATTAAATTCTAAATGGAAAAGATTTTGCTTGTATTGTAGCTTTTAGAAAGTGAGGCTTTCTTTGTGCTTCACAGATTACATCTGAATTTTAATAGGTACGTATTTCATGTAAGGGACCCATGAGTCTGAAGAAGTTCCACCTGCTCACAGTTCTGGTTAAGCATGTTTGTTCAAGGTGTCTTTTGGTACCTGCTGTCTGCTACTTAATTAAATCTAATTATTTTTTTTTACCAAGCATTAAATGACAAAAGTGAACTTAAACCAAAGGACTTTTATAAGAATTCTTTCCTTTATTTAAATGTAATTTTCTAGTTCTTAGGAAAAATAAACTTTAAAAATTAAGTTTTTCACTTCCATAAACTGCTTTTTCTCCCTAAAGTACATACTTCAATCTCTAAGTAAAGAAAATGAACATAAAATGTGATTCTTGCCAGAAATCCAGTCGCGACACTATTTTTTCATACACCGTAGTAGGAAGCCGTTCTTCTAAGAAAATAGAGTTGAATGGTCCTCGTGCAGCTCTTGTTCTCCACACTAGAAACTCAAAGAAGCAACAGATGTGATAGATTCGTACCTGGCCATTAGCAAGTTGCCTAAATCTTTCATCTTTTCCACCTGGAAATTCCACCTGTTGTTAATGTGAAAATATTAAAGTACTTTGAAATTTCATTTATACACGTATCAGTTTTTTCATAGTTAAAGAAATAGAAGTCTGTATTGAAAAGATAATTATTTTTGTGATTCAGTTAATATTAGTGGTTACGTTTAAGTGTATAGCTAATCACTAGAAAGAATTTTATCAAACTGCTTTAAAAAATAACTGGTGTAGCAATTTTTAGAAAGTAATATTAAATGACCACAAGATGGCAGTGTTGGAACAAAATTGGAAAATTCACAGAATTACATTTAGTCCATATACTATCCTTCCTGGTATTTCATAACCAGTTTTTCTCATTGCTTTAAATGTGCACTATAGCCCTGGTTTGTGTAGCTCAGTGGATTGAGCACAGGCCTGCGAAACAAGGGGCTGCAGATTCGATTCCCAGTCAGGGCACATGCCTGGGTTGTGGGCCGGGTCCCCAGCTGGGGGTGAATGAGAGCAACCACACATTAATGTTTCTCACCCTCTCTTTCTCTTTCCCTTCCCCTCTATCTAAAAATAAATAAATAAATAAATAAATAAGTAAACAAGCAAACAAACAAATGTGCACTTTAGGCTCATGAGTCTCAGATTTGGAATTTCTGCTTTTATCTTTCTTTTGAAGATCCGCGTATCCAGCTACCTTCTTACCCTCCCCACTTTAATATGTAATGGGCATCTCAGACTCAGCAGTACTAAAATCTTTAAATTTCCCTTCCCTCCCCAAGCATGCATGTCGCTCAGGGTTCCCAGGTGGTTCCTGTCAGCCCATCATCAAAGCCTTCAGGCTCCGCCGCCAGCACCACAGCCACCGTGGTGTAAACCACAGCAGTTTCCTGCCTGTGCTGTTGGAACAGCCTCCTAAGTGGTCCCTGCTTCCCCTTTCACCTTGTAGTCAGTTCTGTATGCAGTATCCAGAGTGGTCCTTTTTGAAAAGTCATACCACTTCCCTATTCAGAGCCCTCCGATTGGCTTCCCCTCCAGTTCAAAATAAAATTCAAGGTCCATTCCCTGGCCTTCCACACCTGCCCCCTCGTTATTTCTTTGACACATCCCTGGCCAGTCCACCCCTCACTCTCTCTGCTTCAGCCACACTGGCCTCCTGCTTGTTCCTGACCCCCAGGCCCATCTTCAGTGTGGCATCTTTGGGTGTGTGGTTTCCTCTGCCCAGAGTGCTTCTCCCCGGCCACCCACGTGGCTTTCTCCCACGTGTGACCCAGTTTCTGTTGGACAGGGACCTTATCGGAGAGGCAGGCCTTCCCTGACCACGCTGTGGAAAGCAGAACCCCACCTGGGCACTCTCTCTACTTGCCCTGACTTTCCTCAGATGACGTGCAGTTTGTGTTACTGTCATTGTATGTATTGTCTGCCCGCCCCACTTAAATGTCAGCGGTGTGAAGACTTGGGCTTTGCCCGTCTGCTGACCGCTGTACCCCAGCACCTAGAATAGTATCTACCACGTAGTGGACATTTCATCCTTACTTGTCGCATGGATGAAAAGAAGAAAAGGGAAAAGAGGAAAGAAGGGGGAGAGAGGCCCCCTAAAAAGAAAGGGCCTCCGGTACAAGGATGTTCCTGATGCACTGGGCCTGAGGAGGGGGCGCCCTGGGCAGTTTCCAGGGAGGGGTGCCTGGTCTTCGGAATCCCCTGGTTCAAATCTTCATTCTTGGTGTTGCAAAGGCATTGGAAATTAAAGTTCATTTTTTCTGGGAGAAAATGTTTTTTCTTACCACCCTCAGAAACTTATCAATAACTTTGTTAATACTCTCTTATGAAGTAACTAAAAGGGTCTGAGACTTAAATCAGCTTTATTGTGCACTCAGGAATTCTGATGTAATTTTAACTAACTGAGAAGTAAACTGTTAGAAGTGTATTGGTAAACATGAACTACTACTAAGAGGTTACTAATCTTGACATTAGTTTCATTTTCTTCGTTGTCGTGGCGGTCTTTAGTTCGCTCTTTTTTCCTGACTTCTTTTGTTAACATTCCCGCAAGTTTTGTTTATTAGATTTGCTGTATCCCCGTCTGTGGAGGTGAACAGGTTGTACTGTTATTCTCCCAACAGGAAAACAGCATCATCCTCAATGGAACCGTGACGGTCAGCACAGCCCGCCTGCCGAGCTCCTCCGGCGGGGACCCCCTTGCTGCCGGCGACTGGGTGCGCTACAAGCTCTGCGCGTGCGCCGACGGCACCCTGTTCAAAGTCCAAGTGACCGCCCAGAACATGGGCTGCCAGGTGTCAGACAGCCCCTGCGGGAACGCCCGCTAAAGGTCCAGAGCGGTCCTCGATGTGTTCGTGTCGTGACTTGACTTTTTTAAGAGTATGCATGCAATTATGTTTTTACCAAGTTTGTGGTAACTGGTGATTATTTTATCTGCAGAGCACTACTGTACCTATTACCTAATCTCCATATTTAAAATAGTCTCAGAAAGCCTAAATTCTAGTTCCTTGCATTGAGTTGCACTGATCTTCAAGTTGCTCTTCACTAAGATAATGATCAGAAGTGGATAAAATCAAAATTAATCTTTTAAAAAGTGTTCTTAAAATTCCACTGTGTCTCCTGTACAAGGACGAAGCAGCGGTTTCGCCTCACTGTGGATGAGCTGTCGGTAACCACAGCGCGGCCCTCCCGACGTTGGGGAGGGGCATGTGCGCTCGGGCCGTGCGCTCTGCCTTTCGCTTCCTCGGAGCCGAGGCAGACTGGTGGGGCATCGGCTCTCAGCCTTGTCCTCACACGCAAGCGAAGTCATTGAAGAACTCCACGGATGTGACACAGTAAGAAATGGTGGTTCCTTAGTTTTGCACTAGGGCAAAAATACTCTAACAGAATGTTTCCTCATTAAATATTAACAAAGTGTTCGCAAGGTGGCAGGAGTTAAAATGCCGTCCTAGCTTTAACCGCTAGGTAGCGAGGGTAGCTGTCACTCGTTAAGCGTCTGGCCACCCTCGGCATCGTCCTGGCATTGCGTGTGTGGTGGTTCTTGTTCTCACCGGAGCTCGTGCGCAGGTGTCCTTATTCCAGATGCGCCAGCAGGAAACGGAGGGTCAGGAAGTTCAGAAACTTGCCTGGTGTCACATAGAAAATAGAGGAGTTGGGTTCAAACCTGGATGTACCCGCTTCCAAATACCTTGTTATTTTCACTGTCTGCCTTATTTTAATTATTTAAAACTGTACAAGATCAGCGAAGACTCATTTAAACTTTTAGATAAGAATCAAACAAAGCAGGTATGCTTACTCTAGTTAAAAAAAAAATAAACCAATCAATCTCATGTCAAAAAAAAGTGGCCCATCCCCGTCAGATTTTAAACTACCCTAAGCCAATCCCAGAATGTTGTATCAGACACAGGGAGGTTACACTGGCCTAGTGGTGGGTTTGCCCTGTTCTGACTGATGGGCGTGGCTCGCTGGGGAAAGAGTTGCCAAAATATTTATACCCTCCGCCCTCAGGACAACACAGTGAGAGGTGGGGAGACCATGGCCCCAGGCAAGTCCTCTGGCCAGGAAGAGTCTGGTGGGTTCACCCCAGCTTTCGCCATAAACATGTTACCTTTTTAAACCACGCCATGCCCTGACAACAGTTGGGAAGCACTGGACTAAAAGGGCGCACGTGCAGAAAGTCACACAAGTGATTTTTGAGTATGAGAATTGACCTCTCTGCTCTAATATCGCCATCCCGTGGTAATGATTTACCACTCTCAAAGCGGTGGTTTTCAATGTGCTTTGTATCTGACTTGAAAGGAACATTCTGGTATTACTGAGACACACACGGAATCAGGGACAGAGACTTAGAGCGGTTTGCTGTGAAGAAGCGGTAGCGATCAAGTGTATGCTCAGCCTGCGGTCAGTGTAACAGGATTCGGTCAGGGTCACTTTGAACCATGTAGATAGGAAAGTGTAAAAAGCAATTGGCATTCAGCATGGCTGCAGTCCTCTCATAGAAAAACCGAACGCCTTAGGGACCGTGACATGTGCTAAAATAAACTGAAACGGAGACTGACGTACTATGTGATGCTCAGCGCAGTTTTTAAATGAAGATAAAAGAGTGAAATTTAGGACCTCTGAGTGTTATTAATTGCAGCATTGTTCAGAACCTATTTTAATATATTCAGTATCATTTAATTTCTGAATGGTATTCAGAAAAAAGTTCATTGAAATTTTCTTTTAGATGTTCAGTATACTTTTAAATTTTACATTCTTTACTTGTCTGCTCTATTTAGATTTGTTTTGAAAATTTCTTTAACTATTTTCACAAAAACTACAGAACACTATGTTACAACATATTTATTGAATGTAGTTCATGAAATAATCTATTTTTACTTCTCTTTGAGAGATACTTGTTGTGTTCCTGATACATTTCCATTAAGTGCTGTTAACACAAGAGGATGTTTTCACGTTTTCATAGAACTGATTGTTAAGGTACCAGTATGGTGTTTGAGGACACTTTGAAGTCCGTCTTTGCCTTTTCCCTGAAATGTAGACATGGAATTCACAGGAAAGCAGACTGAGAACAAGCCATCTGTTTCACCTGTGACCTGTTCTGTGTAACAGTAAAGCTTGTACTGCTCATTCTCACCCCCAGGTGGTATTTTTCCACAAACTGAAATGTTAACTCTTCTGTGCCAGCCGTCCCTCCCCTGCGCTGAGCGCTGACGTGACAAGCAGCAGGCTGGGGGAGGTAGATGACAAAGTCAGGATCCCTGGTGACGGGGGCAGGCACACCCCTGTTTAAGTCAGGGCAGCACTTTAGAAGTGGGGTACAGTGGTCATGGGACACTTGAGATGAAAGCAAGATGCTTTAGCGACTGTCCAGTGAGTAGGTAGGAAAATGCAAAACAGCACAACGTGGGGACTGCCTGAATGTGGTCTGTAATACCTACAATACACCTATTTGTATTCTTTTTACATTATAATAAAACAAGTTTTGTGCAACAGCTGTGATGACCAAAGGTGGAAGTTCTGCCTGGTTTTGAATGAGTGTTCTTAGGAGGGTAGGAATGCTCTGGTGCTCACTCTGCCAAAAAACAGACCATTGAAATGCCGATAATTTTAATAATCTTTTAAAAAGTGCTGAGGAGGCGAAGATTACAAGTTATATCATACAAAATAAATTGATAAATCTGATATAGATTGCTAACTTTGAGTTTCAGTTAATTCAATTTGTAACAACTATTAATGACCACTGTTTACAATAAAGATTCTTTCAACTGTTTGCTGTTAATGTTTTAATAAAATACAAGCAGGCTTTTATTTAATCATACAAACATGATGAATTTAAGTATAGCTGGGACACCATCGGTATTAATGTAATCCCTCTGCAGTCCTAGAGCTCAAATTTAGAAGTTGTGTGTCCCTACCCACCCCCTGCGCACTGCAGACGGCCTTCGTCCCTCCGGTGGGTGGCCGTCCCCTGGGTGTCCCGGGGAAATACACACGCTGCGACCATAGTGAAAGGCCAGAGCCAGGTGGGAAAGGGTGAAGGTTTGCCACCGGGCAGGCTCCCTGGGCAGGTGGGCGGAGCCTCACAGGCTCAGGTCTAAGATTCCCACCGCCTTGCTCCAGACGGAGACCCATTAGGGAACCACGGTACCCAAAGGTAAGGACCGCCTTAGAAGCCGTGTTACTGCTGCGTTCCTTCCACATCTTGACAAAAACAGCCTCTTGTGTTTCTCCTAACTGCTTTCACTTACTGTTGTCCTTTTACTTCCTGTTTTTTCCACCGCCTTCTTCCCCTCTCACTATCAGACGCCCGTACACACCCCGTATTTCCAACTGCTTCCTCATACTTCAGCTTGAATATGTCCATATACAGGTTTATATTTTACCTAATGGTTTTCAATTTCCTCCTAAAATTTTCCTGAAGTTCTGAGGGCTTCTTACCTAATACATGTAAGCTTATATGTAGCATATATCATTTTTCTTTAATAGCTTTTACTTTAGAACAAAAGTTTATCATTACCTAGCTGTTTTGAACTCAAATGTATGAGCGTATAGATCTCTTCAACTTAAAAAGAACCAGGTCAGTGAAAATCTTTAACTATGTCCCCTTTGGTATTGTTTAACCACATTTCAGTGATTCAACAAATTATTGTATCTGTTGTCTCTGATATTGTTATGTTAACTTGGTGGCGCACAGTTGCATATAAAATGATTGCAGCCTTCAGTTATAGGAACGATATATTTCCAACAAGAAATTAATTCAGTTTCTGCTATTGCATAAGAGCCACACTATAAAAATAGTCACTTCTGCACACGGAAGGGCACCTTTGCAGTTCGTGGCTGTGTGCACCTTAGATGCCCTTAAAAACATGGAGAACTGGCCTTACATGAAACCAAAGTTTAAAAGTTACATGGTAAATTTCACTCACTGCATTCATTCATCCCAACTTGATGGAACATTTTTACGTATCCAGTATATTACATGGAAATCATGGCCTGTACCTTCTAGGACCTTACTGTCTTTGGGGAAATTTAAAACACACAAAACAAAGAAATAGCAATGCAGGATAATGCTGATATTGTCACACTGAACGTTACTAAAATGCCTAATGTTGGTAATGCATTCATCCATTCAGTAAATACCTACCGAAAGATTTCTGAAAAGACAAAATAGAGGCTAAAGCCAGAAAAATGAAAGGGTCTTCAGGCCATAGGATTTTAGTGGGCTACGTAGCATGCGGACTGAGGAGAGGAAAGGGCGTTGAGCTTGGACTTGGACCAACAGCTGACCTCAGCCCGGGGGGCACGCACACAGGGGCGCACGCACACGCACACGGACGCGTGCATCTCATGCTGTGGCAGCCTCCTCGCACAGTGGCTCACAGGGATGCACGTGCTCAGCCGGTCAGCTGGGTAATGCGAAGCCCAGAGGCCACCCGGAGGAGGCGTGTGGGCTCCAGGCACTAAGGAGCCCCTTAAGGATTTTTGATGAGGGAATGAAATGAGGAAAACAGTATTGTGGGGAAATAACGCTTTGAAATCTCGTAAGGTAGGCCAGAAGGACAGTCAAGGACGATCAAGGCCAGAAGGATGATGCAAACTTACATACTGAATAATGTGCTTATTTGTACACTCACTAGTTTTTTAATGGAATTTAGTCATTAAAACTAGTCGCGAAAATTTGCTTTTTAAAAAAATTCTGTGTTTATCTGCCCTGGCCGGTGTAGCTCAGTGGGTTGAGCACAGGCCTAGGTACCAAACAACCACAGTTCAATTCCCAGTCAGGGCACATGCCTGGGTTGCAGTCCAGTTCCCAGCGGGGGATGCATGAGAAGCAACCATACATTGATATTCTCTCCCTCTCTCCTTCCCTTCCCTTCTAAAGATAAATAAAATCTTCAAAAAAAAATTGTGTGTGTATCTTTAGCCATTGAGATGTATAAATATTGTTTTAAAATGTTTCATTGTTTCTCAAAAACTTTGCTGATGAAGGCACTTGATGTTTCTACATCTTATTACATCTTCATGGTTCTGAGGCAGAGTACCCTTTTATAGTTCATTTTATTTATGTTGGGAATATCTATATGACTTCCAAAAGATCTGATAAGTCACAGAGACAAAGCTTGCAGCTCTTCTAGTCATTGAAAAGAAAACAAAGAATCTCTTGTCTGAGTTGGACTTTCCACCCACCCAGTTCCACTGCTCATTGTAACTGGAGTCACTCACGTAATCAACTATGTGGTTGATTGCAGTGTTGTAGATAATAGACTTTGCGCTAATCACCAGCAAGGAAGCAGAGAAGTATTTATGTTGGTAGGTTCCCCTCCCTCCAAGGCAGACTGCAGTGGGAATGGTTCTGAAGAAGCAGACACAGGGTGAGGCCCAAGGGAATACGTATTTTCTGAAAAACGGGGGCAGGGGGGTGTTCTCTTTTTAGAATGTGACATAAATATAATTTTATACTCCGGCTGTACCATTTGTGGTAGCTACACTTTAATGCCATTAGTTCTAAGAAATGTCTAAGAAATCAAGCATTCACTTAAATTGGCAATCAAGGCAAGGTAATTTTCCTCAATCGTAAATTGAAAAGTAAATTCTCTGCTTATCTGCTGTTTTTACACAAGTTATAATAAGTCGATTCATTTTCTTTCCTCTAGGCATTATGAAAAACCTGTGTTTTGGAGTCACGGCCATGGCTGTAGGTCTTTATTTGACTGGAGCAATGGCAAACCCACCAAGAAAGCACAGTGTTGTCTTCAGTGCTGCGTGCCAGTGGGATGGACATCTCCTGACAGATTGTTCCTTCACGGGAAAGCATGGTATTCCTGGTGACGTATCACAGACAGCGTCCACAGTGGGTGTGAGTTCCAGTTTCATTGGGGTTCTCTTACAATCTCCCACAGACAAAGAACAGAGTATAAAACATCTGGATCTCAGTAACAATCGCCTGTCGACAATAACCTTGAGCTCTCTTGCACACTTACACGCTTTGGAAATAGTAAACCTCAGCCACAATGCCATCCACTCCATCTCATTGGATCTACCCCATCCTAAGTCCTCGAAGGCGAGATGCCCCAGAAGCAACGGGAGAAATGGGCTTCCACATCTAAAGTTGCTCATTCTTCAAGGAAATAATCTTGGTGACATTCCCAAGGGTAAGTACTAGACCAGCAATGAGTACGTGGAGAGTTAATGTTTTACGTCAGTGAGAATGCCACATTCGCTTTCAGTTTTGAGGCAATGGATGAAAGTAAGGTGGTTGGATCCAAGCAAATATGATAACACCAGGAGTTTCTTCATGGCACTGAGAGTTATGAAATGTGGGGTTTATAGTGAAAGCTATTTAAACTTCTCATTAATGTTATGTTGGTTTGTCGAGAAACACTAGGAAGTATTTAAGGGCTAAATCATAATGCACGACTTTAAATTACCTGCCTCGATTACCATTTACTTGTGACTAAATATAGAAAAGCACTGAGAAATAACCACTTCAGATACGTTCAGTGTGTAACACAATTTAAGTCTATGAACATATTTATAATTTTTGCTTAGAATATATTTTGCTTCTACATATCCAGTTGTCCTCCAAGTGTAGACTAGACATATGCTAATATTATATATTACTGCATAATCCTTCTTCTGATCAAGTCAAAATCAGAATGCCTTCCCCTGGTCTCTTACAGGGTGTTCCACATACCCTCCTGTCATTATAAATTCTCGTCCATTCGGACACACGTTGGAGTGCCGTCACTAATCCGCCAGTGTTTTGTTTCGAAAATGTATCAGGTTCATCAGCCAGAGCTTCCTTTGCCCTTTGTATAGCCACCAGAGCTACACAATTTCTTTTCCTTGTTTGCTGTCAGTCTTGGTGGCTATTTGCTAAGTACTTACTTTATATAAGATACTACATGCTAAAAAAGAAAGTGTAAGGATATTGTCATTTTTTCCCAGCCCAATTATGCGTATTTAGTTTTCGTCAGTTTTTCACTTTTTATATAATTTTATTTTCTGCTCTCTCGCCCACTTCTAGCCCTGTTTTAAGCATCATTTTGACAATAAAGGCCCAAAGGGGTGGAGGAAACCTACCATGGTCATCACATCAGCAGACTGGGGGGGGGGGGGGGGGGGTCTTCTCTCCCCGACCTTCTCCGTGAAAGCGAAGTGCAGCATTTCCAGTGTAAAGTGTAAACTATTTACACGTATGTTACAATTTTTGTTGTACTGTCCTTATCATAAAAAGGAATACCTGTTATTTCTAGAACAAAAATTTGAAGAAAATTTTAAGGAGAAAATTAAAGTCCTTCATGTAACATATACTCTTTAAGTTTATTCTTTATGTGTATATATATTTTTATTTCAAATTGGGTTATACTTTCTGTAATATTTCATGTTATATTTTCATATCATAGAATATTTTGAATATTTTTATCTAAGAAGTCTTATAAATAATATTCTAAATACTTTCTATATTATAATTGATTTAATCAGACAACACTTAGATTATTTCCTTTTGCTTGCTTTTTGTTCCTCCTTGATGAACATCATTATACCTATACATATGCAGGTGATATAACAGTTTTTAACCACTATGGTAGATGTGAGTCTCCACCCACAGATTCAAGTGCACTAGAGAGATACCCTTTTATTGTCCATAACTCAGCCTAGTTTTTCATTCTGAGCCCACATTCCACTAGGATCTGTTGAGGGTGCAATATAGGGGACTCGTACTTAACGTCAGTCTTCCGTGATCTTTCCTCTGCCTCTTCCCAGATTTGTGCCACCGCTCTGGAGTCCTGTACCCTGACAAAGCATCAGAATGTGTGTGTCTGTATGCATCCATCTGTTTCTTACCCCCGTTAGTCACAGAACATTTTAGCCTTTCAGTTTGGAGAAAATTCTTCCCCTTTTTTGTCTCTTCAAAATCCTCTGTCTAGTTCTAGAAATTCCTTTCCTCTAAAAGTTTAGGCCTTTGGAAAACAAAAGCCAGAAAGACTGTGAACTCCTCTGCTTTGTGCCTTGCGATGTGCTCGCCCTGGGCCAGTTCACACAGATGGAACTTTCTGTGTGAACACTTCAAATAGTGTCCCACCGCATGAGTCCATGGAAAAGTGCTGAATGTGTCTCCTTAAGGCAGGTGAAGTCCCCGGAAGTAACTGAAGGTCGGGGCAAACACAATTCCATTTGAGGACCAAATATCCCTGTCAAATGCAGATACAGCCCCACCTCCCTCTTCTCAGTTAAACTGGCATCCCAAAATATCAGGGAAAATGTTACACGTGCAGAGGAGAAAAAGAGAAGTGAAATGATGGATTTGGTGTCTGAAATTCTATTAGAATTCTAGCGAATGAAACCACAGAGACATGAATGAAGCAGATGGGTGACAGACCAGCTTATGCCCAGAATCTAATTGGATACAATGCAGAGTTCCTTTACCCACAGCATTTTGCGATAGGAATTATTTCTCCAAAAGTGACACACATTTTCAATTTTTACTAAATTGAGTCCCTTCTGCCATCCCCTTTTATGATTCGGTGACTATGGCTGAATAACTCTGACTCTAAAATCCCATTTTGAAGGGAAAAGCAGGTGAGAGGGAGGGGCTTCCCGGAGTGAGTGGCTGCTGGCTCTGACGTTCGCTTTGTTGCTTTTGACTCCTGGATTCTAAGCCCGTTTAAAGGCAGCATCTGGAGACTGTGAAATGCCCTCATAGAACTGTGGTGAGGAATAAAGAGAAAGTGCATTTCAAGTACCTAATCTAACAGTATTTGGCATACTTTATAGTAGCTGTTAAAAATATATGAAAAGCCCTGGCCTGTGTGGCTCAGTGGATTGAGCACTGGCCTGCAAACCAAAGAGTTGCCAGTTCTATTCCCAGTCAAGGCACATGCCTAGGTTGCAAGCCAGGTCCCTAGTAGTGGGTGCATGAGAGGCAACCACACATTGATGTTCCTCTCTTTCTTCCCCTCTTCCCCTCAGTCTATAAATAAATAAAATCTCCAAATATATACATATATGAATGAAAAGTGCTTTGTAACCTAATAAAGTAGTTGCAAATATTAGTTATTATTCCTCTGTGGCACAAACTGACAATAAGTTTATTCAGAAACAAGTACTAAATTCATTTTTGTTGGAATTTCGAGTTAGCTTTTAGAATGTTACAGGACCACTGCAGTAGATGGGACTCCTCGCCTGCAGTAATTCGCAAGCCAAGAAACGTTTGTGTCTGACTATTTAGGTAGATGCTTGCTCTCTCTAAAATAACTTAGAGATCTCTCAGAAGGCAGCAACCAAGTAGCTGGCCTTGCAGCACACGGGAACTTTTATAAATCATGTCCCGCATGCCTTAAAATGGTGACAGTTTATAAAACAAAACCAAGACTTGCTTTCGCTCAGGAAAGCCCACTTTTGTGAGGGCGAAGTCACACTCACGAACCCACTGTCAGCCCCCTGTCTTCAGAGTCAGCTGAGATACCCCAATAAGCTCCAGGCCGGGAGGCATCTAGGGGAGGTGCCACCAGCGCAATTTGCAAGACAGAAGCCAGCCGTGAATTCCAGCTTAATGATCATCCTCCCCTCTCCCATAGTTTTGGAGTACAGTGTTAATAATGGAGAATCAGTTTTAAAGATTCAAAACAGCGGGGTGGGTCTCCAGTTGAACTATCCCACCTTCATCAAGCAGCATCGTCAGAGTGCCCGCAGGCTGCCTGGAAACCTTTCAGGGCCCATATCTTATTGGGATTCCAGTTAGGTTGACAGACCAGACATGACAGCCTGAAATTAATTGACACACTAAACTTCAGAACCCAAGAGTTAAATGTGTTAGAAATGAGACAAAATAATACCTGACTTTGAAATCAGTGAATTAAAAAAAAAAGCATGTATTATAAAAACAAAAGTACAGGGTACTTTTCATTTGTAGGGAATTAAGGATTTTATCCTGGTTGCTACTGGATAATGGATAATACTAATAACCAATGTTTTCAAAATCAGTTCAAGTTGTAAAGCAACAAAATGAATGAATGCACATGATTAAGCAAGAGGGCAATGTCTTTGGCTAACCTCTATTGATTTGACCACATTATCTAGGGCCATTCCAAATTCTATTTTAATTCTTAATACTCTTTGAACTTGAAGCCACGACCCCTGAATATTTCTGTTCTGTGTTCCCAGGTGTCATACTTGGGAGAACATTTCAGATTTTCAGAGTCCACAGCAGCATCGCTAAGGCACCTTCTGTCTCTGTACACCTTCTCTGGCCTTTTTTCTAATAAACACTGAGATAATTTCTTGGAAGCAATAAAACTGCCTCTGGCCACTTAAATGCAAAGGCTAATCAAATTCCTGCCTCCCGTGGCCTATGTGGTCATCAGAAAGCAATTCAGTAAATAATTCCGTCTCCCAAAAGGGCCTCCTTATTTTCTTCCCAACATTTGACTCTCTTAAAACATAGAATCTACCCTCTGATATCCCAGCTTCAGCTAATGTGCCTCCTAAACTTTTTCACTCACCCTAATACCCACCCCCTCAAAACTGATTCCCAACACAATGTTTTTAAAAGAACAAATTTTCCCCCATTTAGAATGTCAGCCAAGTATCATGGGAAAGTCCTCAAATTTCCTAAGTCCCTCTTGTGAACCCCCAAACGATGAAAGCTGTGCCTCCGGTAACCTTTGGATCAGCAGGCTAACCAGGGCACAATGTTTCTGTAACAGCAGTTGTTTGGCAGAAGCAAGAGAACAGCCCCCATCACACAAGCACACTTCACCCCTTTGCACACATCATGTCTACTAACAGCTCACTGGCCAAAGCAAGTCCCAGGGCCAAACTCAATGGGATGGGGAAGTATATTATGCTCACAGTAAAGTGAATATTTGCTGAACAATAATCTAAACTGTTACACCTGGCTTTCACCGAGCTCAAATACTTAAAGATCAATGTAATCAAAGATAGATTTCTGTTCCACCTTCGAGAAATAATTTTTAAGGGTGGAAACTGAGGCATGCAGACCTTAGGTGGTACTTCCTGATTCACATCAAAAGTCACAAACAGAGCTGGAATAAAACAAGATCTTAAGCACCCTATTCACTATGTAATGCAAGTATTGTAGAATCGCTAGACAGTCTCCAATACACTCGGCAACTTTATGTATTCCATGGCCCAATGCTATTCTCATAGGTAGAGAGCCCTGCCCCTAGCCTGCTTTTCCCTTTTCTAAACTCAAGTTATCTTTCAGAGCCTTGACCTTCCTCTCTCTCTCTCCTTCTTCCTCTCCCTCTCCCTCTTCTCCTTCTCCTCCTCCCCCTTCTCCACCTCCTTTTTTTTTTTTTTTTTTTGGTAAAAAAAAAAAGTGTATTGTTAAATGGGAATGAATGCTTGAGAGATCTGAGCTTCAATCTCAGCTCCACAGCCGTACCCACCATGATTTAGGGCAAGTTCTCAACTTGCTGTGCCTAGGTTTTGCAATTTGCAAAATGGTAATAACCCCCAGGGCTTTGTGAAGATTAAAAGGAGATGTTTGTGAGATGCTCAGAGCATAAAAAGAGTACACAATTAAATTGGGGTTTTAGAATAAGTTCTTCCTTCTACTCCAAAGCCAGATGTGACCTCCCCTGCACTGAACTCCCAGGGTGCAGATTCAGTTCAATTAAGCACCGAGAAGGTGCAGCAGCCATTCGTTCTCAGGCTGGTGTGGGCCAGGCAGGTATTACGAAAATGTCAAGGAAATGGTAGCTGCTCTCACATTGGTGTCTTGCATTGCGCTTTTTTCTCACAATCCCATATGTTTGCCTATTAAAGCACATAGGAATATTCTTCATGCCACAAGGAAACTTTTTTTCCCAGGGGGATATCCTAAAGTGCCTAGGACAGTGGGGCAGCTCCCAGCACTTGGCAATGGCTAATTTACCAACCAATACGGAAACATTTCCTACTATCATATGCCGACTAAATATCAGCCTTGGTTGTCTCCCATGTTTTAAAACCATGCCTGCTTCTTGGCCTATGCCTTTGTGTTTCTACTTTTAACAGAGACATGAGTACACAGAAGCCACATTTTTTCTGCTCATGCACGCCCCATCTGAAACAGGCAGGCTGGCAGGCTTCACTCAGCTCCAGCCAAATGTCGCCCTGGGCCAGTAGGAACTTCCAATTTTTCAAGAGAAGCTACAAATGTAGTTTTTTCATACTGATTCTTTATTGTCTGCTCAATAATTTTTAAATAGCCACACAGGCCCAACAGTGTGACCTCTGGCTAACTGGATGCAGTCTCTATTCACAAAGACCAAACTTCCCTGAAGGGCCTGACCGCCTGCTGGAGAGCACAGCTGGATGGCAGGGGGATAGCTGCCTCCTATAACGGGTAACTTTCTCTAGGTGCTATCACTCAACCAGACGAGGATTCTGCGCTATATTTGTCTTTAGCACCAAACGCCTTGCTCATGATATTTTTATTGCATCTCTGTCCTAAGGATCACGTGCTTAGTCTGCACAGCTGAAATGAACATATGATAGCATAGATGTACAACCGTTTCAATTAAGTCATCGCCTTTCTGCATAATCAGTCTCACAGTAAGTACCTTGAGGACAGCAGGCAAGGAATAAACCCTTCTGGAATTGAACCAACTTGATCTGCCATGTAGCAGTTGGTTAAAGACACAGAAACACATGAGAACAGAGCAGAAGGCCATGTAAAAATGCAGGGCTTCCTTGCGGGACTCAGATGGCCAATGAAAATTGGAAGCCTGCTGTGACTGGCACCTCATTCCCCAGCTGTCTTTTCGGTGCCACATGGGCCTCCCGCTTCCTCCCTGGCATCGGGAGAGACAGAAAGGCAGAGATCACAGCTCAATTAGATGATCTGGCCAGAACGCAAAATCTAGGTAGAACCAAACTACCTTAAAAAAAAAAATACAAGAATGCCCAGGAAATAGTTATAGCATCAACAATGAGTGAATCGAAGAAAGAATATAGCTACAAAAGAGAGTAAGAACATCTTAAAACTCAACGAGCTCATTCCTATAAATAAATCATCAAATAACTATTTCATTTTACCCACCGTTCAATCAAATAAATGTTTACTTACTCTTCGAAGTTAGATTTTTTTAATGGATGCTTTTATTATAAATAAAATTAGCACATGTTCATTGAAAGATGTACACAACAAAAATGGAGTTTCCTTTCTCCTCCAACCCCACCCTCCCCACCACCCTGTTCCTAAGTGTGAGTACTGCCTGCAGCTTAGTTCACTTCCCTCCAGGCCTTTTCCCTGCTTGCTCAGCATTCACGGGTGCCCTGGAGCTGTTCTCTACGCTGTTCAGCAACTTAGCATCTTCCTCTTGTGTAGCCACGTTGCTCTACCCAGTGTCTTTGAAGACTACATAGCATTTTATGGTATTGACATACCATGTTTTGTTTAACCTCTTCTCTATTGAGAGCCTTTTAGGTTGTCTCTAATGTTTCACCTTTATAAACAAGGCTGCAGTCAATAATCACCAGTTTATATTTTAATTTGCTATTTAATTTTAATAGGACTGTGGAAACTGAAGTCATTACGGAGTTTGGATCTGTCCTTCAATGGGATATCGCAAGTTGGTGTGTCTGATTTTCATAAGTGCCTGCAACTGGAGAACCTCTATTTAAGGAGCAACAAGATATTCAGAATTCATCCAGAAGCCTTCAAGGACCTCAAAAAATTACAGGTTATAAAATAAGTTTTATAATATTTCAAATACACAGACATGTGGGCAATTACCTTAGAAGAATATTTGCAGAGTTTCTTCATGTCTAGTAGTATTGACTATTCGCCAAAAAATGTTAAGTCTATTTTAAGGTTCCCCTAAGTTCACTGAAGTCTCTCTTGCCTTAAAAATCAGAGGTCTCCGTAACAGACATGAATTTTACTCACACATAACACTCAGCAGCAACAACCAGCATATTCTTCTCCTAAATCCAATTAAGCCCAACTCCAAGTCTCCGCCTGCGAGTTGGCGAGAAATCACACCCTTGGCTGCAAGGGCAGGCCGAGGGCCTGAGGGTCGCCCCCCTGCAGCCGCCACACTGGGGGATGCCGACATGTCCGCAACCCAGGGCTGCTCGGGCCTCGGAACGCCAATGGCCCTGTGCCTTCCACCTCCAAACTGGGCCTGGGATAACAAAAATGACCATGCTGACAGCATCTCCTTGCACGGCACTTCCCACATGCCACACACCGTTCCAAACACCAGCTCCCTCCTGGCGGATCTAGGGCACCCTGGCAGCGCCGTGCAGTTGATCTCACAGAAGGTGTGCGGTGAAGTGAAGGCGAGGAACCCACCCCCAGAGCTCTGCTCTACTTCTGGTGGCTTCAGACCTTCTCCTCCAGGCGCATTTCCCCACCCCCTTCCTTTTGGGGGCATGTTGCAGCATCTCCCCTGCACGCCACTTTAGTTACAGAAGGGCGGCCTCCGAGGCAGCACCTGGATGCCGTGACCCGCACCGCACGCCCCCTTCTTCCCGCAGGCCGGGGTCACCCCACAGAAACAGAGTGTGAGCTGCATGGGCAGCGTCACATGTCCTAGTAACTAGGTTTTAAAGTAAAGGTAAGCAGGTGAATTTCACTTAGTAATTAATGTTAACCCCATGTACCCAAATATTACCTCTTACACACATAGTCAAGATAAAAATTACGGACTTCCAGCCAGGAGGTGTAAGTAGACACACTGTGCCTCCTCTCACAACCAAAATGAGGGCAAATACAAATTTAAAAACAACAACCAGAACTGCCCAGAAAATCGAACTGTGTGGAAGTCTGACAACCAAGGAGTTAAAGAAGAAACATTCATCCAGACCTGTAGGAGAGGCGGAGACAGGCAGCTGGGGTGGAGAGGACTCTCAGCAAGGCCACAGCTGGAGGACCGGGCAGTCCCACATTTGTGTGAGGATAAATTGGGAGGAACAATGGAGGACTGAGACAGACTGCGCAACCCAGGGTTCTAGCTCTGGGAAATAAAGCCTCAAAACCTCCGACTGAAAACACCTGTGGGGCTTCAGGTTGCAGGAGAAACTCCTACCCCCACAAGAGAGTTCACTGGAGAGACCTACAGGGTCCTAGAACGTACACAAACCCATCTTCCTGGGAATCAGCGCCTGGGCCCAGTTTGCTTGGGGGTAGCAAAGGAGGTGACTGAAAGCCAGTGAGAGCTGAGCAAGGGACACTGTTCCCTCTCTGACCCCTCCCCCACATACAGCGCCACAACACAGCCATGTGGGTTGCCCTGCCTGGTGATCACCTAAGGCTCCACCCCTTATAATGTAACAGGTGCACTGAGACAAAAATAAATGGCACAAATGAAAGGACAGATCAAAGCTCCAGAAAAAAATACAACTAAGCAATGAAGAGATAGCCAACCTATTAGATGCACAGTTCAAAACACTGGTAATCAGGATGCTCACAGAAGTGGTTGAGTATGGTCGTAAAATAGAAGAAAAAGTGAAGGCTTTGAAAAGCGAAATAAAAGAAAATGCACAGGGAACCACCAGTGATGGAAAGAAAACCGGGACTCAAATCAATGGTTTGGACAAGAGGGAAGAAAGAAACATTAAATGGGAACAGAATAAAGAAACAAGAATTCAGAAAAATGAGGAGAGGCTTAGGAACTTCCAGGACAACTTTAAACATTCTAACATCCTAATCACAGAGGTGCCAGAAGGAGAAGAGGAAGAACAAGAAATTGAAAACTTATTTAAAAATATAATGAAGGAGAACTTCCCCAATCTGGCAAAGGAAATAGACTTTCAGGAAGTCCTGGAAGCTCAGAGAGTCCCAAAGAAGGTGGACCCAAGGAGGAACGCACCAAGGCACATCATAATTACATTACCCAAGATTAGTGATAAGGAAAGAATCTTAAAAAGCAGCAAGAGAAAAGGAGACAGTTACTTACAAAGGAGTTCCCACAAGTCTATCAGTTGATCTCTCAAAAGAAACCTTACAGGTAGGAAGGGGCTGGAAAGAAGTATTCCAAGTCATGAAAGGCAAGGACCTACATCCAAGATTACTCTATCCAGCGAAGCTATCTTTTAGAATGGAAGGGCAGATAAAGTGCTTCCCAGATAAGGTCAAGTTGAAGGAGTTCATCATCACCAAACCCTTATTATATGAGATGTTAAAGGGACTTATCTAAGAAAAAGATTAAAAATGTGAACAGTAAAATGACAGCAAAATTACAACTATCAACAGCTGAATCTAAAAAGACAAAAACAAAAACAAACTGAGCAAATGACTAGAACAGGAACAGAATCACTGGAACGGAGAATCACAGAAGTGGAGGGTTATCAGTGGGGAGGGGGAGCAGGGCCAACCGGGTGGGGGCAAAAAGTTACAGGGAATAAGAAGCACAAATTGTCTACAAAATAGGTGATGTTAAGAACAGTACAGGAAATGTAGAAGCTGAAGAATTTATATGTACAACTCATGGACATGGAATAAATGTGGGGGGAATGCTGGTGGAAGGGGGGTACAGGGTGGGGGAAATAAAGGAGGGGCAATAGGACAACTGTAACAGCATAATCAATAAAATATATTTTTAAAAAGTAAAAACAGTGTTACGTCCCCTTTTTCACACTAAGTCTTCACACCTGGTGTGTATTTTACACTTCCCACCCACCCCAATCTGGACTAGCCACATTTTAATGGTCCGCAGCCACCTAGTGCTTAACAGCTATCATATCCGACCGCATCAGCATAGACCGCGGATGTTCTCCCAGTCGTATGTGAAGGAGTATTTGAGCACAGCTGCAGGATAACTCCCCAGCTCCCCCTTCCAACCAGAACGACCCCCAACTCCTTCCTGGATCAAAAGGGGACACATGAAGCTGTGGTGAGGGGGGTGGACCCCAGAGCCAGCTACCTGGCATTAAACCTGGACTCTGCCACTTGCCAGCCACACAGTTGTGGGCAAGTTACAAGTCCTTCCGTGCCTCAATGTCCTCATCTGTAAAATGGAGACAGCTCAGTTCCTTTCTTGTAGGGTTTGTGACAAATGTTTTAATGCAGTTAAAATGCTTCAAACAGTACTTGGAATATAGTAAGCTCTTATAAATGTAGACTGCGTATAGGAATTCTAACATGACCTGCTCTTTCCACATACAAATCTGATTGTGGCACTTTGCATTTTAAATGTTCCTCAGCTTTCACAAGGGCCTCGCTGCCACCTCTCCAACAGGCTGACCTTTTGCCTGGAACAGCTAACTCTTACTAACTCTTTTTTAAAAGATTTTATTTATTTTTAGAGAGGGGAAGGGAGGAAGAAAGAGAGGGAGAGAAACATCAACGTGTGGTTGCCTCTCACATGCCCCCTACTGGGGACTGGGCCTGCACCCCAGGCATGTGCCCTGACTGGGAATGGAACCTGTGACTCTGGTTCACAGGCCAGCACTCAATCCACTGAGCCACACCAGCTGGTTTAGTAATTCTCCTGATGCCACTTCCTCAAGGAAGCCTTCCCTGGCTTCCAGATTGAATTAGTTGCCCTTCTATACATGCTTATAATAAGATATAAGCTGCTTTTTCTCACATTACACTGATCTAACTGAAACTTTTAAGCATGGTTAGTTGTTAATGTCTATACCCCCATAAACTTCCACTGGATGGTGAGCTCTTTAAGGACATACTCTACATTTATTCTGTTTCCTGTGCTTAGCATATGTCTAATACATAGTACATATTTTAAAACACTTTTTGAATAACGGAATGAATGAATGGATGATGGTCATGGATAGGTGTGTTAATTTCCTCTTGCTGCGTAACAAATTATTACAGACTAAGTAGTCTAAAACCACATACACATATCAGCTCACGATTTTCAGGGCTCAGGAATTCAGGCAAGGCTTAGCTGGGTCCACTGCCAAGGACTTCTCAAGAGGCTTCAATCAAGGTGGTGGCCAGGGCTGGAGCCTCACCTGAAGGCCCAGCTGGAAAGTATCTACCTCCAAGCTCATGTGGAAATGAAGGGGGAACCTTCACTCAGTTCCGTATGGGCTGTCGACTGAGGGCTCAGTTGCTTACTGGCAGCCTGAGCCTGCCCTCGGCTCTGTGCCCGGGGGGCCTCTCCACAGCGCCGTCCGCGGCACGGCAGCTCACGGCAGAGCCCAGAGGAGCAGCCCGCTCGTGGGAAGAACGTCACAATTTCAAGTCATGTTAGTCATTGAAGTGATACCCCTTTGCTTCTGCCGTAGTCTGATGGTTAGAACCAAGTCACAGGCTCAGCCTACACACAGGGGGAGGAGATTTCTCAAGGGCACGAATACTAGGAGGCAGAATCATTGAGGACTTAGAACCTGCCGCATTATCGCAGCAGATGAGAAAGCCTGCTTAGCTTGGCACTGCCTCCCAGTTCACCACAAACAGGTTGTCAGATTGCCTGGGGACCTCATTCAGTATATTGTGTACTGATTATATTTGCATCTGTAATTGCCCTAAGTCTGTTTTATTTCCTATGCATTTGTATTGTGCTTTATAAGTCTTCTGCTGCTCATAGATAATAGATGTTGCAGGCAAACCAAAAAACAATCCCAAGAATGTTTTCAATCATCTGTAATTCTCTATTCACCTGAACTGCCCAGAATTATGCAATTTCTCCTTCTCTATTATTCCTTCTATATGTTTGGTAATAACTTAAAAACTGGTGTTGGAACAGGATGAACACATTTGGTACCAGAAAGCTGCATATTAAAATAGATGTTCCCCCCCTCAGGAGATGTATTTACTACTTACACAATGCAATATATCTTCCCATGTCAGAATCTTCTAGAAGCCAGATAGAGTTTCAAATCATGCATTCATCATCATGTTTGGATAGAATAAATTAAGCTTCACTGGCACTTCAAATTAGCAACCTTTTTCTTAATCTTACTCCCTCTTTCTTAGATTCAGTGATTTGTGTAATGACATGTGCTTCTCCCAAGCTTTCTGCAGCGTACACTCCCGTCAAGAGATGGCAGACGGCTGTTTTGTAGCCATGTTGGACTATTCTGTTTTCATCTTTTCTCAGGAATTACTTCCCTTGAATTATCTTATTAGTTTTCTGGCCTCTCTCCAGTTTTGCTTTCATTTCAATGATTTGTAATATCATAACTGCTAGAATGGAAAAAAATGTAGACATGCACTAACAAAAAAATAACTACCTGAAAAACATGAAAATGTTTCACTCTGTAGCTGAGGAGGGTACATAAGAAAATTGTTGGTCCTACGCAAGGCCAGGCCAAAGCAAAGTTTTGGGGTTTTTTCTTCCCAATTCCAATCTCCTACTTCCTGCTTCCTTCTTTTAGCAACCTTCCTTTGGAAGTCGAGACGGCTTGGTTACTGAGCACGGAAAAGGTCATCCTTATTACCTGCGCTCGGGGAGAACTCTGATTCTGCATGGAGTGGTCTCGGTGATGGTGCTGTTGGATTGGTCATTTGGCTCAGCTCTTTGGAATTTATATAACCCAATATAACAATGCTGCTTTCCCCCCACTGTCTATAAGACAATCAAACTATGCAAATTCGGCCTCTCTGGTTATCACCCCTAGCCCTCTTTTTATATTTCAGCAAGATTTTCACTGTTTACGATTTTCCCTTCTAATACCCATCTTCTCCTTCCCAAACCCCAAGATCCCACTCGAGAGCATCACGCTCCAGTCCTCCCCCGCCCAGGTCTGCACTCCAGGCCAGCGGGCGCTCAGGCTCCAAGAAGGCGAGTTGTGGAGGAGAGAGCACGCGAGAAGCCAGATCAGATTTCACTCTCACCCTTTCTTTCCTCCATTTCTCTCTCCACTATTTACTGAACACCTGCTACGAGCCACGCCCTATTACTAGGGCTATGTGGGGTACACCGTGTGCTCTAGCCTAGTTTTCTCCTCTGTAAAAAAAAGAGGGCAGGATGAGGACATTTTTACAGATTTTATGTATTTATTTTAGAGTGAGGGGAAGAGAGGGAGAGAGAGAGAGAGAAACGTTGCTTGCCTCTTGTGTGCACTCTGACTGGGGAATGAACCCACAGCCAGGGCATGTGCCTGACTGGGATCTGATCCAGCCATCCTTCACTTTGCAGGGCGATGCCCAACCAACTAAGCCACATTGGTCAGGGTGGAAAATGAGGAATTTGTTGTGAGGTTTAGAGATAATGTATGCAAAGCACCCAGTAAGATGCCTGGCATCCAGCCGTGCTCTGCAAATGGTAGCTGGAGCTGCACCCAGCTGTGCTCTCCCTGCTCCCTCACGCCAATGCCATACCCACCTTCAGCAGGTCCTTCTCTGTGTGTCTAGTGCCACCGAGTCCTTTTTGTTCCCTGGGTTCCCCTTCATTTATTATTAGACCGAAGAATTAGTCATCTTGTATGTACTGAGTAGCATGGTTGCAGAGAAATGCACTACTACCCTTGATGCAAAAAATGTCTCCTTACTTCTGGTCAGCCACAGTCCTGTGTTCTATGTTCTCATCATTCAGTATCTTCTGCCATTCTCTCTCTTCCTCTTTTTTTTTAATCCTCACCCAAGAATATGTGTATTGATTTTAGTGAGAGAGAATGAGAGAGAAACATTAATCCATTGCTTCTCATATGCGCCCAACCAGGAATCAGACCTGAAGCCCAGGCGGGTATCCTGACCAGGAATCAAACCCCAAAACTTTTGGTACACAGGATGTCACTGAAACCAACTGAGCTATCCGGCCAGGGCTTTTCTGCCATGTTCAAGATCACTGTGATTTTAGATATTTTACACCTGGTGTCTAATTCTAGACCTTGATAACAAGAGGGAGTCTAGGTTTTATCTAACAGTACCAGTTACAAGTCATAGGAAAGAAGGAAGGGAAAATGGTTGGGCGTCTAATACAGGCGCCATACTTAAAGCTTTTACGTACATTTAACCCAAACAACAGCCTTGGCCAGCAGGCTCGTGGAGTTAAGGACTTGCTGAGGTCCACAGAGCCGTTGGAGACAAAGCAGAGATTTAATCCCAGGAGGCTCTGACTCTCCAATCAGGGCTAACTTCTTATTGCTGCCATAAAGATATAAGCAGTATCTGCATCTGGTTTACTGTCTCTACATCTTTATTCACTTACTGTCCTAACCCTGTTTCTGCTCGAGCAGGTGGTGGACCTCAGCAGCAATGCCCTGACCGCCGTCCTGCCGATGATGGCCATCGCTCTAGGACTTCCCTGTCTGGACGCTGACTTGGCTGATAACCAATGGCAGTGTGACGATAGCGTGGTGGCCTTCCAAAACTTCATTTCTGAATCCTGGAGGAGAAAGTGGGATGAAATTTGCCACAAGTCTATAGGTACCTCTTCTCTCTGAAAGGGTTCCAGATGAACTGAACTGAAAACAAAGACAACAACGAAAAACGAGGCCCTATTTGAGATGATGAGCTTGAGAGTGGCAGCGACCCGCAGCATGGCTGGGCCTCGGGCCGTGCGTATCATAGGACAGCCATTGGCACCTGCCCGCTTTCTTCGGTCCATGAGTGTTTTTTTTTTACGTGGTCAAAGAGACCGAGGTCAACTACCTCAGAAACCACTGGATGTGGTCAAATTCAGAAATTTATAAAAAGAGAATTTTGTCCTGAAGACCCCCAAATGTCATATTTTTAATCCCAATTCTTAACATAATCAAAGAAAGAACTTTTAAAACTTGAAACATGATCATTTAGAATATTTGCTAACACTCTAGAAATACAATCCTATACAGAAAAAAAAACACATATTTCAAAAGTATATATATTTTTTTTGGTTTGACCCCTGCCACTCTCTCAAGGTTGAACATTCTGGCAAGTTTTCTCCACTGTTATCTTGGCTTAATCTCAAACTCCTAACTGGAGGGTTGGGGAGAAAGTCAGATTTTTTTTTTAATGAGCCCTGGACTCTCTACTCAGGACTGACATTAGAGTAGAAACTCGGCCACTGTTACCAGGTGTGGAAGAAACTCGTGAAGACCAGAGAGCAGTCTTCGGGTTCTTGGCCACACTGGTCTCTTTCCTCTGTAGAAATCATACCTGGCCTTCTGAGTGTGAAGGGCAGAATGTCAGGAGCCAGCAGAGAACCCTGGGTATTTTTGCTGTTACCAGCCCTGGGGGAATGATGAGGAAATGCTGAGGCAGATTTTGCAGAGTGCAGTGGAGTGTCCTCACAAACGTGCCACGGGTTAGAGTATGGACAAAGGAGAGGCAGCGAGGCTATTCCTCCAGCCTGGCTCCTCTCCTCCTAAGGGTAGCCATCGGTCAGGAAGCCTAAGAAACACACACCTCCTGGGCTGGTGAGCAGCAGACATGACCCTGGCAGGCCCATGTAAACGTGCACAGGGCCACAGACATCCTGCCGGCACCAGACCATCAGTCCGTCACTAAAGCTGCTTCTCATTATGTAACATGTACTTTAAAGGCAGCTAGATAAGGAGGGGGATTCACAGAAGCTTTTAAAACCACTGGACTCTCATCTCAATGTGTTTTGTCCCCCCACTTTCAGGGAATGAGGAGGCATCCTGGCAGACCCCCAAACGCAGAGTTTCCAGGGAGATCCAGCTTCCTCACACTGACCTGCATCACACGAAAAGCTTCATAAGGAGCAAAGCGGTGAGGCCCCAGGAAGGAACGTATAGGCCCTTTTCCACCCTGGGGAAGAAGGACCATGAAGGCTCTGATACCTCTGAGCAGCAGAGATGGCCCCCAAGATGGGTAAGGAGCACACAGGACGTGCAAGTGGCCAGCAGGAAGGAAGCTGCCTCCCAGGACCTCGCACTGGCTGTCTGCTTAGCGGTGTTCATCACGTTCTTCGTGGCTTTCTGCCTGGGGGCTTTTGCAAGGCCTTATCTTGACAGACTGTGGCAACAGAGATGCAGAAAGAAACAGCTGAGTTCAGACCACGCATATCACAACGAGGGCTACAACGAAATGGAAGCTGCTGGGAACATCCAGCACCCAAGGGCAGATCTGCACCATGCTTGCCATGGTCTAACCCTCTGTTCAAAGCAAGACCCTTTCTTGAGGATGGAGGCCTGCCCACAGTCTGCTGTCATTCCTGATAGAAGCCTGGGAATGAGCAGAAAGGAGCCCGGCAGCAGACAGAGCAGGGAACAAGGCAGGAATGACACTGGGGCTGCAAGTAGGAAGGATACTGTGCTTCCAAATGGCAGTGCAGCCTGTCCCGTTATCCATGGGCCACCAAATGCTGCCAGCAACACACCCATTTCAGCAGAACAGGACCACCTCTGCAGGAATGGTATTCTTGGAGAAATCAATCATGAAACTGAGGCCCCAGAATATTTTCTCAGTCAGTATTCACTGGGGGTCCCTGTGACAGCTGGCAGATTACAAACTGGCCCTGGCTCAATCCATAAGGGTGTGAATGAGTTAGACCCGCTGCTGTGGAGAGATTCGAGAGCTGCTCTCTCTGAAACACAGACACGTACAAAAGCACAGAGGACTGGAGAGAATGAGGAGAGAAGGAGCACCGAACCATTGCCTTCGGAGTCTTCTAAGGACGTGCAAGCGAGCACTTCCATTAGTTTCCTGAACACACAGGAGCAACGATTCACAGGAGCCAGTGCCAAGGGCGAACATTTCACCTACTACTGTTCGACCTCACTCAGTGATCTAGCAGATACAAACCCATCCCCACCGGGTTCTCCTCCAAGGTGGGGCAATGACCCACCTGTCACTCCTGCTAACAAAGAACCTGTGCAGAAACCTGCACCTTGGGACACACAACACGAGTTGGACATCAACTATGACTCTGATTCTGATGAAGGGTCTTTGTTCACTCTAAGTTCGACAAGTTCAGAAGGTGGAAGAGATGTATCTGAAGAACAGGCAGATGGTGAGGAGAGTCGTAGAACCAGCGAGGTCCAAGGGGACGAGGACTCAGGGGTGAGGAAGGACAACGTGACACCATTTGACTGTCTTGAGGACGACATCACCTTCCAGAAGAGTCAGGAGAAATGTGAGAATCAGGAGGATCTGTTTGAAAAACCTTTCATTTATGGTTCAGACTCTGGTTTGTATGAGAGTCATCTGGAAAGTGCCACCAACACCAGTAAACTTGAGAATCCATTGACCTTGTCTGGATCACTGGGCAATTGTCCTTCCAGGGACGAGACCTCAGACTCGTTCATTTCTGATTATGTCTCAGCTCTCCAGTCTGAAGCAGTAGAATGGCATTGCTCACTTACAGACCTAGAATTTTTCAATGTGGACACTTTACCACAAACACCACCATGTTCTGCTGATGTTTCCTCGGATCCTGATACAATTGCCTGTCATGAAAGAGACTCGGACAATTGTACACAGGAACATTTCACTGAGGGAACTGACACAGATCCAAACAATATTCCCTTCCAGATCCCTTCAGGGGAACACTTACGACCCTCCCAACAAGATTCTAAAAACAGCAGCATGCATTTGGACCCACTGGATACTGATACAAATGAAAACCATGATTCCAGAGAGATTATAAGCCAAACACAATTGTTATCTTTCAGTGGTAATGAGCTAGCTCTTCAGTATGAAAGAGGAGGAGGGGAATAATTTGAAAAGGGTTCCAAGATCCAGGTACCATTATTCCAAGAGCTCCCAAATAAAACCTATTCACTAAGAACTCAGGAGCCCTTCAGTGATAAAGATTGGGGTAAATATTCAAAGGAGAATTGGTTGCAATGAAAAAAAGATAATTCTGCCCTGGCTGGTGTGGCTCAGTGGACTGAGCACTGGTCTGAGAACCAAAGGGCTACCAGTTTGATTCCCCTCAGGGCACATCCCTGGGTTGCAAGCCAAGTCTTCAGTTGGGGTCACATGAGAGGCAACAACACATTGATGTTTTCCTTCTTCCTCCCTCCCTACCCCTCTCTTCAAAAATAACTAAAATCTTTTTTTAAAAATCAAAAAAAGATTATTCTAACTTTTACCCTCAAATGCAGACCCAGAGCAACCCAATGGGAGCTGACTGCGTGGGTGAGAACCAGCTCTGCTATGACAAGGCAAGGATGTTCAACTGGAAAAACAGGGAATGCTTCTGTACAGAGTGAAGCACTTAGGCAGAATGGCTGAACGGACTTCAGCAAATTCTGCAGAGAACAGCACAGCTTTGGGGAGGCTGATCATGAAACTACAAAACCGGGGGGATTAAAAGAACTTCTAAATGTTGTTAATAAGTTGTATTAAAAGTTGGACCATTTTATAGAACAAAGTATAAATTAAAAATCAGTTTTCATCTTGCCTGGTGTGGCTCAGTTGGTTGGGTGTCATCCCACAAACCAATAGGTCACCGGTTTGATTCCTGGTCAGGGCACACGCCTGAGTCATGGGCCTGGTCCCTGGTGTACAAGTGGCAACAGCCAGTCAATGCTTCTCTCACATATCAATGTTTCTCTCCCTCTTTTTCTCCCTACCTTCTCCTCTCTCTAAAAATAAATAAATAAAATCTTTTAAAAACATATTAAAAATCAGTTTCCAAAAACAGAAGTGATGTTTTTTGTAAAAGAAAAAGGGACTCCACCGTTAACCTTGCTTATCCCTCCCTTGGCCTTACTAGCCAATCGGGGCTCTCATGAGCTGTGTTCTTCCGGTTATTGCCCTGCTTCTCTGACCTCTGCTGGTCCTCTCACAGAGCATTCCTTAAGGGTCTGTTCTCAGTCTCTATCTCCCCTCTGCCCCCTCCTTGGACCACACTGCCTCAGGGCCCGCTCTGTATAGACGACACCCAGACTTGCACAATGAGACCCAACCTCCCCGCCAAGTCCCCGACTCACATTCTCAACCCCAATTGCCCAAATTCAATAGGTCTTCCTGGGACCTAAAATATTCATTTTCCTTTGCAATCATGATTTTCCTTATTATTTTTCTTGGTTGATAATATCACAGCACCCACACGGTGAGGCCAGTTAAAATTTGACTTATCTCTGATTCTTCATTTCCGGCCTATATCTGAGGAGCCACTAGGCTCCATGAGTGGAAGTTCCTGCCTGTAGATGCAGGGAGACATTTGGTATGGCATCAGGACAGGGCCAGCCAAATCTGTCAGACTGGTGTCTGCATCAAAAGCAGCTTGTCCTTTACTTACAGTGTATATTTAGGGTAGATGGAGATGGAAGATAATTGAGTTTGAGAAAAGGCCTTAAGGGTCCCCAAAGCCGACTGTAGACAGCACCACTGGTCTTACAGGAGATAGCTCCTCAGTAACTCTCCTGTTCACCCCCAGATATGGCGCGTTCCTTATCCATCATCTAGATTACTTTAAGGCTTCCTTGTGATCCTTAGTACTTCTCCTGGCCCTCACCCAAGCGATCTTATATCCTATTCATCGCCCCACTACTCAGAAGCCGCTGATGGGTCCCCATGTCCTATATGAAGACCAAATTCCATAGACACCACCTACCTTTCCCACTTAATCTCATAACATTACTGCTTCGCCACACACTCTACAGTCTTGTTTACCTAATTTATGTCAATTATTTATTCACTTACTTCAACAAATTTTTGAGGCCTTCACCGGTCCCTGATCAATCCCCCTACCCATTCAAAATCACTATTTTGAAGTTTCCCTGTCCTTGAACTTTCACTGAGAAAATTTAGGCCATCGGGAAGAAAAACCCTCCCTCCCCTGCCCCATAGCAGTAAATATTTTATTATTCATACCTATCTCATTCTTTTCTTCCACTCTAAGAAGTCAGAGTTCTGGGGTCAAGGTCAATTCCTCCTGCCTGTTCTTGCTGCAGCCCTGGGCACAGGTCCATTCATATTTCCCATTCCTGCACCCCCAAGCCTCCCCTATTTAATGGCTCTTTCCCACAGGCTAAAAGCAGGCTCAAGTCTCTTCAACATTAAAATGAAAGAAACCACCACCCTGTAGCTGCCTCAGAATACCCCCTTCTTCCCTCGTCCATAAATAAGCACCTTGCAGGAATAGAGAGCAATTGCCTCTGCAGGGCACCGCAGTCAGGTTTCGGCTCACTGTTCCTTTAACCTGCTCCAGCAGACATCCCCAACAACCTCTACGTGCCACATACCATGGACTTCAAGCGTAACCTCCCCAGCATCTGACACTGTAGGTCACTCCTACTCGACCCCCTGTTTCTGTGGTTTTGTTATGTGACTCTAAAGGTGAGGACCCCAGCAGGACACAGACAGCAATGAACAGGGACAACCAGGGAGAGCTGAATGAAGGAACCATTGGCCAGATCTGGGCAGGATTAAGGGAAACCAGCAAGGACAACAGGAAAAGCCTTTCATATCCTTCGGCCTGAAGAGACTAAAGAAACTGCAGCCATGGGTGCTCAGCAGGAGCTGTGGCCTTGGGCAGAGGAACACAGCCACGAAAGAGCCATAGTCCAGCAGGAGGAAGCCCCAAGAATAACCACGCAGCCTCCCTCTCTTCTCACCTCCAGTCTTTTTACAGTGCCTCCCAGTGCCTGACCCCCCAAAGCCAGGGGGGAAGTCGGCAGCGGTCAGCCTCTTCCAGGCCAGCCTTTCAGAGCTGGGTGACAAAGGGTAGAGAGCAGACTTGGAAAGGCAAATGGAGACTACCCAGCACATTCTTCCTTCTGTTCTTCTGCCTCTCTGGTCACCCTTCCCCCAGTTCTCTGTCTCCTTCTTCTTTCTATATTCACTTCTTAAATACCTGTGTTCCCCACGGTATGGCCCTGGAACCTCTTGTCTTTTTCCTCAGTTCCCTTTCCCTGTGTGAGCTATCAGTTGTCAAAGCTTCCACCTCTACCTACAAGCTGATATTTCCTTTCTCTGTAACTCCAGTTTTGAAATCTTTCAGGCACCTTGCACTCACATCCAGCTGCCTAATGGAGATCTCCATAGGCACTTCAAGTTAAGTGGGTCCGAAGTGAAACTCACCGGCGCCCCCTAGTCCTCGCCGCCCAGCGAATCTGATCTTCCCTGTTCCATTTCACTATCCACCCGTCGCTCCATCCACAAACCGGGAGTCATTTTTTTGACTCCCTTCTCCTCACTTCCCACATCTAACTCACTGGTCATTCAGCACAGCTGATTCCAGCCCCTAAATAGCCGTCGAGTCTATTCCCTCCTCTCTGTCCACAATGTCACAGCCGTAGTGCTCACCTCAACACTCCCACGGATCTATAAGAGCACGGGAACTGGCTTCTTCACCTCCTTCTACCTGCCTTTATGATTCCCACCCTCCGGCCAGGGGGCGGTTCCTGAAACACAGATGTCACCATGGGGCTCACATTAGAGGCCGTCCTGAGACCACAGGCTTTTCCGTTTCTCTAAAGCTCCCCCAACCCCATCTCCAGGCCTCTGCCCACACCACATGGGTCTGAAACGTTCTTTCCAGCCCACCCGACAGCCGCCCACCAAGCGAGCCCTCCTTGAGCTCCTACTTGGTTCTCAGGTTTATCTCAGGGAAGCCTTCTTGGACTCCAGGCTCCATTAGATTTTCCTCGTACAAACCCTCTCGTGATACAAGCATCGCCCTTCACACAGGAGCGCTTACCCAGTGACATTAAGTAACGACCTGTGTGATTTTTGATTTAATGTCTGCCTGCCCCCTTTTTACACTCACTGTAAGCACTCTGAGAACAACTTCCAATAAAAAGTGTCATGTCTCCCCAGAGCCTTTGCCACATACCTTGTCATTTTTGTCCATGGGTTGTCTTCCCCAAAGCCCTTTTCTGTAAAGTCCACAGTGTGCCCTCAACCAAGCAGGCCTCCTACACGGGGTGGTGACCAGGCGACCTCTGTCCAGGCTCTGTGGCAGTTCCCGATTCCAGGTCAAGTTTTCCATTAGTTTTACAGATTGTGGAAACTGTATGAAACCGGAGAGAGTGAGATGACCACAGTGACCACGTGGGCCTTTGTTAGAGAAGGCAGTGAGGGAGGCGATGGGAAAGACGTAGAAATAAAAGGACCAACTGGAGACATTATAAGGTTAAAATCCACAGTGCTGCCTTGGCTGGTGTAGCTCAGTGGATTGAGCACTGGACTGTGGACCAAAAGGTTACTGGTTCAAATCCCACTCAGGACACAGGCCTGGGGTGTAGGCTAGGTCCCTGGCTGGGGGCCTGTGAGAGGCAACCAACTGATGTTCTTCTCCCTCTCTTTCTCCTTCCTTTCCCTTCTCTAAAAAGAAATAAATAAAATCTTTTAATTTAAAAAAATCCAGTGTTGATTAACTACCCCAGCACCTGTCACCTAGTGAGTGCCAAGTAAGCACGTATCAAAAACGTGAGTGAAGGAACGAAGGGAGGGAGAGAAGGGCAGAGAATCCAGTTGTAACGCGGTGCAGTACGTGGTTTAAACCTACTCAGTCCTCCATACACTAAGCCTCTCCAGGTCATTGCCTTGCTGAAGAGACAGGGTAGCGTCCTGCAGAGTGGCCTGCCCCCGCGTCTGGCAGATGGCTTCCTCCCAGCATCGTCTGATTCTTCTAGTATTTGGGATTCCTGCTGTTCCCTCCTCCAGGAATCCTGTCACTGCACTACCTGCCTGCAACAATCCCACCCACCTCTCAGCACCAGGTGCAAAAGCTACTCCGTCTGTATGAAGCCTCACCCGATTGCTCCAGAATCAACCTTCCCTGTTCCTCTCTGTGCTCCCCAGTGCAGACCTCGCACTTCTATCTGGCCTCTATTTCATTCGGCTTAAACTACATTATTTTTTGACATAGCTGCATCTTGGTAGAGGTCCCTGATACTTTCCTTTAGGAGCTTGCTCCTTCCCTAAAGCACCAAGACCTTAGAATTGTTCTGTTTACTCATCAGACTGTCCGCCAGCTGTATGGAGACAAAAAGCTGGCAGGTGGAAGCTGGTTGCTAAATAGCAGCTTAAACTCAGGCCCTGTGTTATGTTTGAAATGTAAACATGAGACTAACTTCTCGCCATATAGTTTTCTTAAGATTTTATTTATTTATCTTTATAGGGGAAGGGAAGGAGACAGAGAGAGAAATATCAAAGTATGATTGCCTCTTGTGCATCCCCTGCTGGGAACTGGCCTGCAACCCAGGCATGTGCCCTGACTGGGAATCGAATCACGATCCTTTGG